TTACAATGTCTCCATCTGAATACAAAGCAGCTGCAGGGGGGATTTCTGCTCCCGACATTTTCTGCTCCACTCAGAAAGAAAAAAAAAATGGGGAAATGATTCAGTGTTACAGTACAGCCTGGGGCAAGTTTACCTCTAATTCACACAAAGAACGAAAGTACATTTGAAACCGTCTTAATTGATCCATGGAGCCTGTTTAGTTCAGTGAGCGCAGCAAAAGTGATGAAAGTGAACTACTTAATGAACACAGCAGACTGTGGTTTCGTTAGCAGCAGGTGGAGAGTGGACTTCAACCAATAATACACAATGTAGGTCTGATGGCAACCAGTGAGATGGTTCACACTGTAGACACACTCAAGCAGCACAATACAATTGCAGCCGTAGCAGCCATGAGAGCAGCAGCAGAAGCAGTAATTGAAGTACTAGCAGCAGTAATAGAAGTACAAGCAGCAGAAATAGAAGTACCAGCGACAGTAATAGAAGAAGAAGAAGAGAAGAAGAAGTTTTATTTATATAGCGCCTTTCCAGAGCTCAAGGTTGCTTTACATGGTACATTTACACACTAACACACAACATATAACACAACATATAGTCACATTTAAACAAAATACATGTTAAATAGATATGTTTTTAACTGTGTCTTGAATGTAGCCACATATGGAATATTTCGAAGTGAAAGGGGCAGTGAATTCCATAATTTTGGAGCATTAACACTAAACGACCTTCTACCTACTGTAGACAACCGGAAACGAGGGATGGACAATAAACCAAGTTCAGTTGATCTGAGAGACCGTACAGGGCGGTAGGTGAAAATATGGGGGTGCAAGACCATTTAATGCCTTAAATGTTAGAAGCAATACCTTAAAGTGGATACGTGATGCCACGGGTAGCCAGTGAAGGTCATGAAGCACCGGAGTAATGTGAGCAGAACGCCTGGTGGAAGTGAGAACTCTTGCTGCTGAGTTTTGAATGTACTGTAATTTTGCAGTTTTTTGGGAAGACCAAGAAATAAAGCATTGCAATAATCCAGACGTGATGTGATTAATGCATGGATTAAGATTTCAGTGTCAGCTGAAGAGGAAAGAAAGAGTTTTTAACAAGAGAAGAAATATGAGAGCCAAAAGATAGAGTTGAGTCGAATAAGACACCGAGGTTACGAGTCAGTGATGAAGGCTTAATATGGAAACCATCAATATAGAAGGACTGGTCCATCCTTTTGACTGAGGCAGCAGAGCCGATCACTAATATCTCAGTTTTATTGTCATTTAATTTGAGGAAGTTAAGATGATACATGCAGTGAGTGAGTCAGGCAGGGATGGCCTATCGGAGCTGGTGGTGAAATAAATTTGGATGTCGTCAGCATAGCAATGGAATTGAAGTCCATGCCTGCGTATGATGTTACCAAGTGGGTGTATATAGATGATGAACAATAGTGGACCAAGAACTGAACCTTGAGGAACACCCTGTGTAAGTGAAATAGTGGCAGAATTATGACCTTGTATGCAGATATAATACTTTATGTCGCTGATAAAGGAAAAAAGCCAGATATCAGATGCCGATATCAGAAAGCTGAGAAATAAGTAGTTCATGGCAGACTGTGTCAAAAGCAACACTTAGATCAAGGAGCATCAAGATGTTTATCAACCCTGAATCCATGGACAAAAGAATGTCGTTAACCACACGCAGAAGAGCAGTTTCAGTGCTATGAGATGGGCGAAAACCTGACTGAAAAGGTTCAAAAAGACCATTTATATCCAAATAAGATTGCAATTGCGAAGCAACAGCCTTTTCAAGGATTTTGCTTAAAAATGTTAAATTGGATATTGGTCTGTAATTGTCCATGTTTAGATGATCAAGGCCAGGTTTTTTAAGAATGGGGGTCACCGCAGCTGTTTTTGATTCTGCTGGGACAATGGCAGAAGCTAAACTACAGTTTATCATATGCGTTATGAATGGTGCAACCTCGAGGACACACATCTTAAGCAAAACAGTAGGTGTAGGATCGAGCCGGCAGGATGTAGAATTTGACTTCACAATTAGATCACTTATTGCAACAGGAGTTGTCATAGTAAAAGTAGAGAGAGAGTTTGATGAGTGAGCTGGATCAGATAACATTAAGTTTGATTCACTTGTACGAGTGTTTTTGGTGATGGAATAAGTGATAAATAGAAGTACTAGCAGCAATAATAGAAGTATTAGCAGCAATAATAGAAGTACTAGCAGCAATAATAGAAGTACTAGCAGCAGTAATAGAAGTACTAGCAGCAGAAATAGAAGTATCAGCAGCAGTAATAGAAGTACTAGCAGCAGTAATAGAAGTATTAGCAGCAGAAATAGAAGTATCAGCAGCAGTAATAGAAGTACTAGCAGCAGAAATAGAAGTATCAGCAGCAGTAATAGAAGTACTAGCAGCAGTAATAGAAGTATTAGCAGCAATAATAGAAGTACTAGCAGCAGTAATAGAAGTACTAGCAGCAGAAATAGAAGTATCAGCAGCAGTAATAGAAGTATTAGCAGCAGTAATAGAAGTATTAGCAGCAGTAATAGAAGTATTAGCAGCAGTAATAGAAGTACTAGCAGCAGAAATAGAAGTATCAGCAGCAGTAATAGAAGTACTAGCAGCAATAATAGAAGTACTAGCAGCAGTAATAGAAGTACTAGCAGCAGTAATAGAAGTACTAGCAGCAGAAATAGAAGTACTAGCAGCAGAAATAGAAGTATCAGCAGCAGTAATAGAAGTACTAGCAGCAGTAATAGAAGTACTAGCAGCAGTAATAGAAGTACTAGCAGCAGTAATAGAAGTACTAGCAGCAGAAATAGAAGTATCAGCAGCAGTAATAGAAGTACAAGCAGCAGTAATAGAAGTACTAGCAGCAGTAATAGAAGTACTAGCAGCAGAAATAGAAGTATCAGCAGCAGTAATAGAAGTACTAGCAGCAGTAATAGAAGTACTAGCAGCAGTAATAGAAGTACTAGCAGCAGAAATAGAAGTATCAGCAGCAGTAATAGAAGTACTAGCAGCAATAATAGAAGTACTAGCAGCAGTAATAGAAGTATTAGCAGCAGTAATAGAAGTACAAGCAGCAGTAATAGAAGTACTAGCAGCAGTAATAGAATTACTAGCAGCCGTAATAGAAGTACTAGCAGCAGTAATAGAAGTATTAGCAGCAGTAATAGAAGTACAAGCAGCAGTAATTACTGTAGTAGGAAAAGTATCAGCAGTAGCCGCAGCAGCAGACGGTACTGTAATCATAGCAGTATGTCGCAGTGATGTACTTATATACAGTGATGTTATTAATAGTACTAACAGTCTGATGAATAAAAAACGAAAGCATGGTTGTAGTATTTGTCTCCCGGTAGAGAATTGTGGTGGTGGTGTTGTCCTCCTTCATGGATCGTTTGCCTCTTTCTGTCTCTGTGGGAGTTGCTCCAACATGAATTTAACTTCTGTATCGTTTCCATGGAGACCTCACATCCAACTGTGTCCTGTCAAAGTGGCTAATTAGTTAATGAAGCGCATGGTGATGCCCGACCAGACAGAGAGAGAGGGAGCGTGTTGAGGAATTTGGCCGACACACACATTTATTCAATTTGTCCCTTTCTTTCTTTTTCTCTCCCTCCATCCTTCTGCCCCCCCCTCCCTGTAATCAGTTCTGCTGTAATCAATTAGCAGGATGAGAAGCAGCAGAGGGAACAGGTGCAGCTAAATGTTAATGAATTCCTCTGTGGCCGTCGTCACAGTAACACTGGCTGAATATTTAAACTGCTCGTTGGCCCGGTGACTTACACCACAGCTGATGGAGGGAAACACACACCATCATTCTGAGCGTGTGTACGTGTGTGTTGATGTGACACCAACAACAGATGTGTGAATGTGTGTGATACAATCTGTATGTGTTTAAGTGGCCGCCTGGTTCTGAGCTGTGCGTGTGTTGCATAAAATGGATTAATCCTCATTTGGTGTCACAGTGCAGGTGATTCAACGTGGATGTTTTAAAGTTAACCTGCAGAATTTTTATGTAAACAAACTGTTACAGTAAAACATGATGAGAGAGAGAGATGGCTCAAATCGTTTCTAATCTATTAATCTTCATTCATTATTGTTCAGCCCACCTAACACACACACAGGGTCATACTGAGTATATCAGTGAATTGGCTGATGGCAGCTGCCTCACAGAGCGCAGCACACTGGGGGCCGAGCAAACATCTGCTGTGTGTGTGTGTGTGTGTGTGTGTGTGTCTGTCAGAGGTGGGTTGTTAACATGCAAATAAAGCAATTAAAATTCATGCAACACGCACCCAAACAAACACACACACACACACACACACCGACACGTACTCATACACGTACAGATAAATACACAATGTATATACACACACACAAACGTACACACACAAACAGAGTCAGTGTCAGACTCATCTGAATCAAATACAGAAACACAGCAGAAACCAGACGGGCCCCTCTGCTGATCGCCGGTCAGATTTACAGTCGCTTTTCACACCTCGCTGTGATAAAAACACAGACACGCTCAGACACAATGCTAAACCACGTCATCTTTGTGACACATCAGGATGACAGGTGGTTTCAGTTGTTGTGAAATCCTGTTGTTGTTGGCGCTGATGTGAATATGTACTGCCTTGTAATCACGTTTTTATACTACAGTGTTTATTTATTCTCTGTTTCCTGCCCAGGGACTACAAATGTAAATGAGCTTATAGCTAACTCTGGTACATCTAAGTAGAGCCCGACCGAAATTCACACTATCTGACCCCTTAACATTGTGTCCCAAACTTCATGTTTATGGGCAGAACTGATCAACTGCAGTACCCAGTATCTCCGGCATCTCTGCCACCCAAGAATGCATCCAAAAGTTCCTCAGAAGTGCTTTTGCTTGTCTGTGCCCAGGGGCCCATTGTCTCATAAATAACCCGTTCACGTCTTCAGTCAGAGGATGTTTTGCAGCACGATTAGTTTACTCATTGTTGTGATTGTCTTTCAGAGCATCAAGGTGTCATGGCAGCCGCCTCAGCGCAGCGCCCAGAACGGCGTCATCACTGCCTACAAGATCAAATACAGGAAAACCGGTCGCCGTGGAGACCAAGAGGCCATCGAACCCAACAATTTCTGGTACCTGTTCACAGGTGAGTCTCCACGGTTTGATTTATTCTTACTATATTTAGTTTGATTTTGGAAGTTCAGGTAATTTAAATAGTGAAAGTTTTATAAAACTGGTCTCTGTGTTTTTACAATCAGGCTGATTTTTTGGAACAAATTCCAAAAAAAGGACCTTGATTCTAACAACATTTCTATATTTACCCAGACTGTATATCAGTATGCAGGGATTTAAGGAAAACACTAACAAATGTTTTCACTGGAGGTCGCCTGAGGCTGGCAAAGCAGTCTGACATAAACATTCAATCAACACAGACGTAATGCGCGTTTGTGAGTGTGGGTGAGTTACACAGTGGACTGCTTTTCCTCTAAGCAGTCCACCGAAACCAAGAAATCTGCACATGTGCGAGTGTGTCTGCATTCAAACTGCCACCAGCTATTATTTCAATTTGAGGTGGGCAGGATTTGAATGAAACTGATCTTCCTTTTCATTATTTTCCACTGATGGTTATCTTCATCCGTCTGTCCGCACAGGAATTCATTCCCCACTGGCAGGTGTTTATGTGTGTATTGAATCTGATCTGCCGCCTGCAAGCCTGGCTGTCAGCAATAAACACTCTTTTCACTGACTGAGAATAAGAAACTGAATTTCAAAACATAAAATAAAGAACTGCTGCTTCACTGAGAGGATTAAAAGGATGACACATTGAACCCGTGTTAACACTTTCATTTTCACTACACAGTAAACTCAGTGTGACAAAGATCACAACATCTCCAGTGAGAAGGAATCAGAGGCTTTAAAACGTGTCTCTTCACTCTGTAGCCAATATTTGAACTAAAATTGCTTGTAGGCTCAAACTGAAAACCAGAGGTTTGCTCCTTTAGGTTCTACACTGCCACCGCCAAATCATAAAATAAAATTGATCAAGAATAATAGTGTAAAATCCTGCAAGCCTACCACAGAGGCTGCAGTGCTTGTTACAGCCACAATATTAAAGCGCTGGATAGAACAAACAACATACTGATGATGTTTCTATTCTTAGATCTTTACCTGTGGAGCTTTGTTCTTAGAGCAACTCTAGAGGACAGGTCACAGGATCATTAAAATCTAAATGGTGCACTGATCAGGACTTTATGTGGAACACTTGCAGATTTTGAAACAGTTTGAGAAAAAAAGGAACATATCAAGGTTAGAAGACTGTGTCCAAATTCAGAAGCATTCTGAAGAGAGCAGCAAAGCAGGAGGAGCTGCGGGTCCCTGATGTATTTTATCCCACTGGAAATTCCCAGAAGTTGGACAGAGTCATTGTTTTACAGGTCATAAGCAAGTCTTAAGTCCAGGGTTAGGTCCTAAGTCACCACAAACAAGTTCCAAGTGTCCTTCATCAAAAGTCCATTTTTGGCCTTAGATATGATACCCCTAAACCACTGCTACTATTGCAATGGCAAAGAAGTCAGGGGAGTGAAGCAGGACTTTAGCAAATTCAGAACATTTCGTAGTTACAGTGTGAGAAAGCATTCTTTTGCCTTTTTAACAGAGATGTTCAAATAGTTGTTCATTGTTTGTACTGATGATTCAGTCAGGAGACTTTCATGATCATCTAAGCCTTGAAATGCTCGGTCCACATTGTCTGTGAGAAAATAAAACAGACATTTACTGCAGAAATGCTGGACACTGGAAATAACTCCTGCCACTTCGCAACTGTAGCTCCTAGAGCTCTGATGTCACAGCTATGGATGGATACCTCAGAGTCCTCAGACTAAATTGATGGAGAAACCTTTAGTCTGGAAGATATGTAATATGGTACACTGAGCCATGATCACTGAGGTTACTGTTAAAACTTTTAACACACATTCATATAGCAAAAAAAAACATTCCTGGAACCACAAGTTTTGCCCATTTCTACACTGTTGCTGTTATATTAACTACAGGAATATGTATTGCAGCATGCATGGACACATGTATAGTTCACATATACAGTAAGGTAGTTATTCTCACTTGTAATGGCATTCTCTCTCTCTCTCTCTCTCTCTATCTGTCTCCCCTTCTCTCTCTCTCCAGGTCTAGAGAAGGGCAGCCAGTACAGTTTCCAGGTAGCAGCCATGACAGCCAATGGAACAGGTCCGGCCAGTGACTGGTACACCACTGAGACGCCGGAGAACGACCTGGATGGTGAGAACAGAGAGAAAGAGAGAGAGGGTTTGTGTGTGTGTGTGTGTGTGTGTGTGTGTGTGTGTGTGTATGTGTGTGCGTGCGTGTGTGTGTGTGTGCGTGTGTGATCTGTGCAACAGCATGTAAATACCTCCACTGTCCTAACACACATAAATATTTCACCAGTTAAGGGCTGAGATGGATAGATGCAGGATAGATTTGCCTCAGGGGAGGAGGGAGGAAGGAGGGATCGGAAGGTTGGAAGGAGGAGGGGGATGTGGAAGACAGAGGGAAGGAAATTAAATGAAATGTTACAGCTAATGACAGATTTTCAATGAAACAAACACAAATAATACATAGAAACGCTTTACTTAAACTCTCTCATTTAGTTATATAGTTAGTTATATTTCATATTTATAGTTATTATATAAGTAGTGTAATTATTTGATAAATGTTTTATGAGATGACAGAAAGTTATTTGAGAGAGTTTTTCTATACTCCCGAAAGAATAAATTCCTATTTCTATAGCAACAAGTGCTAAAGCAACGAAACCCAGAGGTTCCCTGCCTTTGCTTTGACTTCCACTGGAAAAACAGAAGATCTTTTTTCCTCTGCTTCTATTTAGTAAATGACCACCACACAATCTGTTCCGCCTACTGTTTAGTAGTGTGTAGGCTAAACAACATGCAAACATGCAATAAATCCCTCACAAGTGTTTTTGACGTGAGACATTAAGCACAACATGAGTTGAAAAACCAACTAGATAAATATAATGTATTTAGAAGCAGATTTAAGTGTTTATTAATGTATCTGACTACAATTATACTCCTTCTGTGGGGGCCCATAGAAGAAGGCTGATGTAAGGTATAGACAAATAATGAATGGCAATATGGTAAAACACAGTTGTAGTAATATAAAATATGTCTTCATAAGAGAAGTTATAATTGTTGACAACTATTATACATTAATAAACAATTAAAATGGTCAAATAGCTGCAGAGACTTACAGTACAGTTTGTTGTAAATTATTTAATTAAAACCATGTTTGTATACTCATTATACATGCTATATAGAGGGCGTTAAAGTTTGCAAAAAATTTGGCTTTGGTCTGGAAATTATTTTACAGTACCTGAGGAAGATGCTTTTTTCCCCTGGAGAAAGAAAGTAGACAGCAAATGGGCTGGCAGTTCTTGGATTTGGTCATCTAATAATTTCTAGCAGACTAATTGGAAAAACTGACCTCTGGTTGAAGCTCAGGAGGAGGATGTCCTGGTCAGCAGGAAGCCAGAGATAAAAAACAAACACATCCATGCTAACTGTGTTTCCAGGCTGGGACAGAGGGAGACGCAAATCTCATTTCAATTGATTATCACTCAATAAAGTGATATGAACCGTCTCCCCCTGAGGCAGAGAGCGCGCTAATCTGATCTAATCTGACGCTGAGGAATAACACAATGTGTCAGGGCTTATTAGGGTTTAATACACAGCTAACAGAGTTAGCAACTGTTAGCCCAATTGCTCTAAGCACCTGCTACTGTTGCTTCTAACAGGGTAGCTTTAAAACCGCCAGTGGTGTAGGTCAGGGCCGAAGCCAGGACCACAGAAATACTGAGGTTTGAGATTATCACTTGTTGTCTTCTTCTTTGGTGTGACGTTTCATTGTTTGTGTCTTTGCAGAGAGTCAGGTTCCCGACCAACCCAGCTCCCTGCACGTCAGGCCGCTTCCCAACAGCATCATCATGTCCTGGACTCCTCCCCTCAGCCCAAACATCTTAGTTCGAGGTTATATCATTGGCTACGGAGTGGGAAGTCCCTACGCCGAGACGGTCCGAGTGGACAGCAAGCAGAGATACTACTCCATCGAAAACCTAGGTGTGGGAGGGTGGACACACAGATTTATGGCCTGATCTCTGACAGATTTGTCAACATGTTATACTCCATTTCAGGGAGAATCTGTCCACTCGATGGAGTGGGCAGATTCAAAGGACCGGACCCAGGCAAAAAGATTTGTGCTTCCAGTACAGAGATACTTCTTCCCGTCTTTATGCTATGCTAGGGGAAACTGCTAACCTAGCTCTCTATTAGAGCTCCATCCCCAACCTGATCAGCCACAAAGTATCAAGTTTTGAGTTGGGGTTTGGGCTTTTTTGTTAAGCATCAGGTTGGGTTAGGGTTTAGGTTTAGCTATTTTCAAATACACTGCTCAAAAAAATAAAGGGAACACTAAAATAACACATCCTAGATCTGAATGAATGAAATAATCTCATTAAATACTCCTTTCTTTACATAGTTGAATGTGCTGACAACAAAATCACACAAAAATTATCAAAGGAAATCAAATTTATCAACCCATGGAGGTCTGGATTTGGAGTCACACTCAAAATCAAAGTGGAAAACCAAACTACAGGCCGATCCAACTTTGATGTAATGTCCTTAAAACAAGTCAAAATGAGGCTCAGTAGTGTGTGTGGCCTCCACGTGCCTGTATGACCTCCCTACAACGCCTGGGCGTGCTCCTGATGAGGTGGCGGATGGTCTCCTGAGGGATCTCCTCCCAGACCTGGACTAAAGCATCCGCCGACTCCTGGACAGTCTGTGGTGCAACGTGGCGTTGGTGGATGGAGCGAGACATGATGTCCCAGATGTGCTCAATTGGATTCAGGTCTGGGGAACGGGCGGGCCGGTCCATAGCATCAATGCCTTCCTCTTGCAGGAACTGCTGACACACTCCAGCCACATGAGGTCTAGCATTGTCTTGCATTAGGAGGAACCCAGGGCCAACTGCACCAGCATATGGTCTCACAAGGGGTCTGAGGATCTCATCTCAGTACCTAATGGCAGTCAGGCTACCTGTGGCGAGCACATGGAGGGCTGTGCGGCCCCCCAAAGAAATGACACCCCACACCATTACTGACTCAGTGTGAACATGCTTTCATCTGTGAAGAGCACAGGGCGCCAGTGGCGAATTTGCCAATCTTGGTGTTCTCTGGCAAATGCCAAACGTCCTGCATGGTGTTGGGCTGTAAGCACAACCCCCACCTGTGTACGTCGGGCCCTCATACCATCCTCATGGAGTCTGTTTCTGACCGTTTGTGCAGACACATGCGCATTTGTGGCCTGCTGGAGGTCATTTTGCAGGGCTCTGGCAGTGCTCCTCCTGCTCCTCCTTGCACAAAGGTGGAGGTAGCGGTCCTGCTGCTGGGTTTTTGCCCTCCTACCGCCTCCTCCACGTCTCCTGATGTACTGCCCTGTATCCTGGTAGCGCCTCCATGCTCTGGACACTACGCTGACAGACACAGCAAACCTTCTTGCCACAGCTCGCATTGATGTGCCATCCTGGATGAGCTGCACAACCTGAGCCACTTGTGTGGGTTGTAGACTCCGTCTCATGCTACCACTAGAGTGAAAGTACCGCCAGCATTCAAAAGTGACCAAAACATCAGCCAGGAAGCATAGGAACTGAGAAGTGGTCTGTGGTCACCACCTGCAGAACCACTCCTTTATTGGGGGTGTCTTGCTAATTGCCTATAATTTCCACCTGTTGTCTATTCCATTTGCACAACAGCAAGTGAAATTGATTGTCAATCAGTGTTGCTTCCTAAGTGGACAGTTTGATTTCACAGGAGTGTGATTGACTTGGAGTTACATTGTGTTGTTTAAGTGTTCCCTTTATTTTTTTGAGCAGTGTATAATTTATTTAGAACTTTCTCTCATTGACTGTGCCAATTGTCTGCATCAGTGCTTGTCAGGTGATGCAAGTAGACAGTCAATGCCCAAAAGGCACGAGACTATGTGCTGCGTTACCTTAAAGAACTCAGCAATGGTTGAAACAATAGACTGTATAAAAGAAGTGGACGCATTGTGACGTTACCCGTTGGTTTGTGGACTGCCGTTTTGAAGCCTTGAGTTTGGCCGATGTTGAGTTTTTGTAACCAGCGGCACCGGATGTGACCATTTATAGATGAGACGGTGGAGTTAACGGCCGAGTGTGGAGCTAGCTTGCTTAGCTAGGTGCATCACGTTAACTGTCATTTTAACAGGACTGACAATTTTGTCCAGCAAACACCAGTCTTAAAACTAAATGTACTCAAAGGGACTTCCGCATTGGATTCACGCTGGAAGCTTCCGGCTTGGTTGAAACAAAGCAAAGATTGAGATTCTGCTCTTGGGTCAGGTCTTACATGTGACAGAAGGGCCATAGTGTCCTAAAAAAGTACAAGATTAGATAGCTCTTTCCAAGGACATTTTGAAAACAAAATTGATAAGAAATGTCATTTCCCAACTTAAAGGTATGTTTCAAAGCCATCTTCACGGTGCCTGGAATCAAATTCCAGTGGAGAAATACCGAATCTTTTATTTATTTATTGCTGGCCCACAAGAGGTCACATTTTAGCTTTAGCTTAAAAATACATCATATGCATCAGTTTTTATTTGTAAATGTGGAAAATAAACTCCCACCTGGTGGCTACATTGTCCATATTGCCACAGTCACGATGAATCAGGTCAGTTCCAAATATAAAGCTATGGGCCATAACCAGGTCTCTGTTTTAGGAACTCTACAGTCAAGTTTATGAGGGAGAAGAAGAACAGTATATGGCCTGATTTTGACTCATTTCAGTGGACTGTTTGTCCCCAGCAGATCTGCACCTGGCTGTGAATTTAAAAAGTACTGTATGTGCTCAGAGCCTTGCTGAAGGGCAAACTGGCAATGGTGGCAGACACATCTGATGTCACACCAGTACAACAGTCCCAGACCCAGAGACAGCTGCAGAGAGAGGGAGGGAGCAGGAGAAGATTAACACAGATATAGCTTTTATCCCAGTGTGATCCACACCAAAATAATTAATCATTCCATGAATTCCCATTTCTAAAATGCTTATCAACACAAAATACGTACTGTAATATTTGCATCCCTCATAAATCCAGCTGCTCCTGCCAACAAAGTGCCAATATTGACATAGCATTCCCATGTTCCATTAATTCATTATGATGATGAAATCCCCATTTAATTACAATCAATAATTTAAAGGAATTTAATAAGAAAGCTGCTTGAGGTGGAAATCTAATTGTGAAAGGTCGAAAAAGAGAAAACATCCTCCCCAGCGACTGCAACAAGCAATTTGCATGCCAAAGAAGACAATAACAAATTGGATGAATTTTTATACGCAGATGAAAATCTCCATCTCAGGTCTCATAATAGAAGAGTAATGAAAAAATAAAATCTAGCCGTCGTGCGGCATGCCCATGTGGGAGCGAGTGCACATATGTACATGGCATTTATAATTCACGGTGATCATTAATTCATGTGGTGAGGCGTCTGGGGAGCGGAGCAGGCGTGTTTGTTTAACTGATGTGAGGGTTTGATGCTACATGGAGAGAACATGCAGCATCATCACAGCAAGAGCGACGAGTGGCGGCAGGACAAGCCGCTGCATGACAATCAGTTCATACGCCTGCAGTCATCATGTCTTTGGGTACATGAGGTCAGGACCGAGGAAAGAAAGTCACGTCCTTTAAACCATCGAGGAAACAACACAGTTATGGAAGTATTTAGCATATTGGTTGTAAAATTGGTGACATGAGAAATTAAGCCTAGTATAGTCATTGTAAAGTAGGAGTAAGGAGGCTAACCTTTGACCTTTCTATCAAATCAGTAAATTGACGTAAAATTTTAATAATTATGTATTGCTGAAGCATATAGACAGAGAAAGATTAGAACAATTAGAACAAACCAATTTATGTTAAATGGTAAATGGACTACATTTCTATTGCTTTTCTGGTCTGACAACTCAAAGCACACACACATTCATACCCTTGTGGCAGAGGCTGCCATGCAAGGTGTCAACTTCTCGTCAGGAGCGGTTAGGGGTTCAGTGTCTTGCTCAAGGACCCTTGGACACTTTGACACTCTCAGACCCAGGGATTTAACCAGGAACCTTCAGATTCCTGCTCTCCCTCCTGAGCCACGCCCTGCTCTCAACAGTGACATCTTAAATTGATTATGTACTGGCTATGTTTATTTGCTGAATGCTGATAAAATGACTCTTTATGCCTCTCTGTCCCTCTCTCTCTCTCTTTCTCTCTCTCTGTCTGCCTGTCTCTCTCTCAGAGCCGAGCTCGCATTATGTGATTTCCCTGAAGGCATTCAATAATGCCGGAGAGGGAGTTCCTCTGTATGAGAGCGCCGTCACTCGATCGCTGACAGGTACGATCACACACAAGTCACTGATGATAATCATAGTAATCACGTTTTTACAGTAGTACACTGGTGACGTGTTCACATTCAAGTGATATGTAGCAGAATAATGACATGTTACATGTCACTCCAGAACATAATGGTCATCTCAATGTCAGCATATAAACCTGAAAAAGAAGACTTTAATGTACTGTGACTGCTGTTAGTTTGAGGGTGAAGTGGCCTTAATACTTTCATTAGTAGTGACAGTAGTATAATTAGTAGTAATAAGCAGTAGTAGCCTGCTTGGTTGGAAATGTTTTTACAAGATAGGGTTTTCCTACCAAAGCAAGGCAAGACAACTTTGTAAGGACATTTCATACTCCAGGACATTTTGGTGTGCTTTACAAGGTACAAAAAATATAGCAAAGGTAAAAGATGTACAATTTTAAAAAGTGCACAAGTACTGGCACCCAGTGTAAGTGAAATGTAGATTTGTGTGTCATCTGCGTGATTATGGTAAGATACTTTATTATTTTGTATAATTTGGCATAAAGGAAGCATATAGCAGTCCACCAAGAGAGGTCGTAAGATCGACCCTTTTGGAACCCCACAGGTCGTGGCCATCTGCTCGGACACACAGTTACCAATGGAGACAAAGCACGTATGTTTTGAAGATATGACTTGAACCACTTCAGGACAGTTTCAGAGAGTTCCACCCAGTGTTCTTTACAATACATTTGGAGTCATTGTTCAGGACAATGTCATTAAGCCCCTTTAGGAGTGCAGTCTCTGAGTCTATGACAGGGACGAAATTCTGGTAGTTGTCCAGTGTTTAAAAGTTATTGGTGAAGAACTTTTTAAAAATCTTTACTGAAGAACGGTAGGTTTGATCTTTATTCAGTACAGTAGCATCAAGACTGCTCTTCTTTAGGAGAGAAGAGGCTTAATGATGCTTTCAAAGCCTTTGGGAAAATGCCAGATTGGAGAGAGTTGTTAACTATGACTATTAGTTCCTTCATTAAGCTTGTCAATACTGTTTAAGGAAGGTACTGGTTAAACAGGGGGATGAATTGAGATTGGCGATCATTTCTTCAAGTGTTTTGTTGTTAATGGTTTTAAATTTTGTCATGCCCAACAAGTAACTCCTGGAAAACTGCAGTGATTATGCTGTTTCGGTTGGCATTGTGGAGCTGACAGTGTATGTGATGCCTTGAATCCTGTCGTTAAAAAGGCATGCAGACTTGTGAATCTGTTTGATTTCGTGATAGCCATTGCCATTACTGTATGTGCTTGTGTGTGTGTGTGTGTGTGTGTGTGTGTGTGTGTGTGTGTGTCTGTGTGAGAAAGACTCATTAGCTCTTGCTGCAGACTATGGGCTGTAAAAGCGAGATAAATGAAACACATCCAACTCTCAGCCAAGTTTCATATTATGAATTAAACAGCCGGCCTTCCTCTGCTCACCCAGCAGCCTGCAGCTGACATAAATCCTTTATTACTCACATAAAAATGCCACATTTCTGAGGTTTTTCAACCCTCATGATGTGTTGATAGTCACAGGGAAATCCAACAGCAGAGACCTGTCAGCAAACCAGTTTCTTAACCTTCATTACAGGATGCTTATATAGTGAAACTTTTCAAAACTAGATTGTTATCATCACATGCTTTTTGTCTTTGATTGAGATTTCTTCAAAAGTGGAAGTCGCAAGAGTTGAGGAAGAAGAGCAAATCAGGGGAAATGGAGGTTGAATATGTAGAGAGAGACAGCAGGAGGGCGGCAGAGATAGAGAGAGACATTTGATGGACTTTAATGAAAGCTCATGGAACGGGGGAAGCAGCAAAAGAGAAATAAGCGACGGCAGGGAGAGAAGAGAGATGAGCAAAGAGAAAGAGGTAGAGAGGACATGGAGGGAGATGCATGGGATGTAGAAAACAAAAAAGAAAGAAAGATCGCCAACCATCAGGAGCTATTTGGGGTTCAGTGTCTTGCTCAAGGACACTTGTGGACAGGGGGGAGGTAGGAATCAAACTGCCAAACCTGTGATCAGTGGACACTGATACTGCAAAAACAACTCGTGTTACACATTATTATAATAAATGTTTTTTTTACAGGGTTTAAAGAAAGTGTTGTAAGAATCATTGGAGTGAATGGGAAGCAAACCTGTGGTTGTGTAACGTTGTCCAGGTTGATTAGTAGTGAAATGGACTAAAATAGAAAATTTCCAGAAAATCTCAATCTGAGTATAGAAGCAGGGGACTATGTTTACCGTATGTTATATAAAGAAGGGGTTTCCAACCTCTTTGTAGTTGTTTAGACATACACAGACACATCTGGAGTTCTGTAGAGATATACAGTCTAACATGGAGTTGGGTGACAGCCAGGAGTTGATAAGCTGAGACCCTGAGGTCTGAGACAAAAACTAAACCCATTACTGTTCTGACAAGGTCATCAACAGTGATACACACACACACACACACACACACACACACACACTTTCTGTCTTGTCATGCCGGGACAAGCTGAGCTCTCTGTCACTTAATGCTGGCAGGCTGCTGGAGAGTTTTTTACGAGAGCTTTAAAAAGCGTCTCGTTAATGGTGGGATCCTCGTTAATATACTGCCTCGTCCTCGCCTCACCACCCGCACACTGCAGAGACAGAACTGATCCTCAACCAACCGCCACGGTGCCGTTTAATCAAGGGCTGGAGGACCGCAGAAAGAGAGAGAGGGGGGGGGGGGGAGATGGGGAGGCATGAGAGCAATATGAAAAGAGGGAGGGAGAAAGAACAAAGGGAGCAAAGCAGAGAGGAAGTGTGAGGGATAAGCAAGGGATGGAAAGGGTAATGTAAAGGTAACGAAGGAAAGAGAGGGAAGGAGGGGTTGGAGGTTGGAGAAAGAAAGGAGGAAGGCATCATGGGAGTGATGTGGAAGGAGGAAGAAAGGAAGGAGGGAAAGAGGGAGATGCAGGACGGGAGAGAGAAGAAAGGAAAGGCATAGGGATGAAAAATGTGGAAAGGAGGAAGAAAAATGAGCAGACAGAGGAAGGATATGGAGGTAGGAAATAGGGGGATAAAGGGAGAAGGGCAGAGGAGGAGGCGCGTCCTCCGTCCTCATCAGTATTCTGTCCTGACTGGAGCTTTATGGTGATGCTGGACGAGCAGTTTAACCACGACACTGCTGCAGCTCGGCCCAGCTCTCCCTTCCTCTCCTCAGTCTCTCTCTTGTTAGTCTCCCTCTCTCTCTGTATGTTGGCCTGCAGCTTTACATCTCTCTTCCAGCAGCGCATTCGATGTCAGTGTTGATTCCCTCCATGGTGCTGTTTATACTGCATGACATATTTGAATCGCTCAACAAACCTGAGTGGGCGGCAGTGGTGACCAACAGAGATGCCGTTTGGAGCTGTAGCCACTTTAGCCCATCAACAGTCCAGAGAGTGTAGGTGGATTTGAAGGCTTGTGTGGTGTGGAGCCTGAGGAGGCAGTCTGTGTGTGTGTGTGTGTGTGTGTGTAAATGCGCTGAGATAAAAAAAGATGTTAGAATCAGAAACCGGTTACAAAACGGTTGCAGAGCGACAGACAGTGATCAGCTTCGTCTGGTCTCATTTCTGCTTCTTTTCTAGTAAGAGAACAGAACCAGAACGTCACTGCCATCGCCTTTGTACACAAGAAACTGGTGCAGCATTAAAATTTATAAATGGTCATTCTATCATTTATTCGTGCAACTTTAAGTTCTTATTCTATTGTTTTATCTTTTTTTTGTCATTTAGTTGTGGCATCTTTTATGTTTTACTGTATTATTTTCCCCAGCGTTTTCACCACGCAATCTAAAACAGATTTTTTTTACATTAAAAATCATCATGTTCAGCTGCCCTGCAGGGTTTTTTTTTACTTGTTGAATGCATCAAATTAAAAATAATTATTCAGTTGAAATTAATGACTTTATTAACTTCAAAACTGGTGTGTGCTTATTTTAAACTGTCTGTGCCACTAACTGTGTCTCTGCTTCCAGTAGGTTTGACTATCAGTAGATAGAATCCACAAGCTGGAATCAGCAGAGTGACTTTTATATTTTATTCTTCAGTTTACAGTGGTTACCTCTGCTTATTCCACCTCTCTGTTAGCATCTTTTAGCCTCTTTTTCATGTTCTGCTGCTTTCAGGTGCTCTTCTAGCCTTAACTTCCTGTGAGGTGTTCAGGTGCTGTATGCCAGAAATTGATTATTAAACTTTATATCTTTTTATTTATTTATTCTTCACTGTTGAGCACCTCAACAAAATGCATATACTTACTAATTTGACTCTCAAAGATAAAGATGTTGTTTTTTTTATCTTTTGGGGTAGGTTCCTGAAACATTCTCACATCTACAGCATTTCTGAAAGCACATGAAGGCAGCATCTGCTCTCTGATAGGCTGGAGACACAGATCCACACAGATGGCTTTCATTTGTTCAAATATACAGAAGCCAGCAGTGTGTGAACTGGTATGATGGCTGGAAAACAATACAGTGTCAGATGAAAAGCATCTATTTCCAATGTTTTTTTTCCTAAAACTTTTTGAATAATGAGAAACATTCCCCATGAGCCCTTAAAAGCTTCTTTTGGTTTTGATATATGTGAAACACAACTTCAAATGTTATGAATTCACAGTATATAGTCACATCATAGATATTTTAAATCTGAAATGTACAACATGTAATTGTTGATATGTTCTTGTTTTATTTTCATAGCTCTAGGATCAGTTCTATCAGTCCTGATAACACTCACCAAAGTATTTGCCGACATCTCTAAATGCCATGGCATCAATAGCTCGACTAACGTGGGTAACAAGGCAATTCTGGGGTCCTGCAGTTGATGTCATAGCCACACAACTGCCAGACTGCTGTTATATGATGCATGAACAGCAGCACCAAACCTAGAGTTAAATTTTTCTTATTATGGATATCAGCAATTAAAAGCATCTTGGTGGGGGAGAAAACCTTTAAGCCCCGCCCTCTGTGGATCTCAAGCTCCACCTTACGTTTAGAGTGATGTTTTTATCTCTCACTGTCTCCTTACTCTTTGTCTTGTCTTTTCTCTCCTGCTTTTCACTTCCTCATCCATCCGCTCCTCCTTTCCTTCTTCCCTCCTCTCAATCAAACATGGCTTCCTGCTGCACGTCACTTCCAAACTGGCATGTGGTATTTCTTTCGTGTTTGTTCATTTTTACACCTGTGTATATGAACACATAACAAACCTATATTAATCTGTCTCCATATGTAAATCTTCATTATCACACATTCATTACACTTTATGATTTCATTAACTATCCCCAAACACCCTGGTTACTGTTAACCCCCCCGCCCCTCAGACCCCATTGACCCATCTGAGGATGACCTCTTCCATCTCTTTGATAAATACCCCACTCCCATGCCAGACACCAGCACTCCCATGATCCCTCCAGTGGGGGTCCAAGCCGTGGCTCTGTCTTCAGACTCGGTCCGAGTCTCCTGGGCTGACAACTCCATGACCAAGAACCAGAAGGCGTCTGAGGTCCGGTACTACTCCATCAAGTGGAAGACCAGCTACTCCACTAGTGGAAAGTACAAGGTATACATAGACAGTAGCTGCACACATGAACATGTGTTCATGTTCAGCTACGTCACTTCTTAGTTTACCATTGTCTCTACCAGAGGACTTGGACACAAATCAGACTCTACGTGACAAAGTCTAAAAAGACGTACAAAGCTTAAAAGTTTAGCTTTTTATTAGACTTAACACTTGGGCTTTACCTGTCTTGACTTTGGGCTCAACTTGCAACTTGCCTTAGAACTTAGGAATAATCTGACAAATAATTACTTTTTCAGGATTCTAACTAAATAGTTTAAGGCTTGGAATTGCCTGCCTTGACTTCATACTTGACTTGGGTATTCCCTGTCTTGTCTTAACATGGGACTTGACTTGGGACTTACATGTCTTAACACAGGACTTGACTTGGGACTTACCTGACTTAATGTGGGACTTGACTTGGGACTTACATGTCTTACATTGGAACTAGACTTGGGACTTACCTGTCTTAATGTGGGACTTGACTTGGGACTTACATGTCTTACATTGGAACTGGACTTGGGACTTACCTGTACTAACACAGGACTTGACTTGGGACTTACCTGTCTTAATGTGGGACTTGACTTGGGACTTACCTTTCCTAACACAGGACTTGACTTGGGACTTACCTGTCTTAATGTGGGACTTGACTTGGAACTTTCATGTCTTATGTTGGAACTAGACTTGGGACTTACCTGTCTTAATGGTGGACTTTACTTCGTACTTTCCTGTCTTAATGTGGGACTTGACTTGGAACTTTCATGTCTTATGTTGGAACTAGACTTGGGACTTACCTGTCATAATGGTGGACTTGACTTGGAACTTTCATGTCTTACATTGGAATTAGACTCGGGACTTACCTGTCTTAATGGTGGACTTGAGTTGGAACTTTCATGTCTTATGTTGGAACTGGACTTGGGACTTACCTGTACTAACACAGCACTTGACTTGGGACTTACCTGTACTAACACAGGACTTGACTTGGGACTTACATGTCTGTCATTGGAACTAGACTTGGGACTTACCTGTACTAACACAGCACTTGACTTGGGACTTACCTTTCCTAACACAGGACTTGACTTGGGACTTACCTGTCTTAATGGTGGACTTTACTTCGTACTTACCTGTCTTAATGGTGGACTTTACTTCGTACTTACCTGTCTTAATGGTGGACTTGACTTGGAACTTTCATGTCTTATGTTGGAACTAGACTTGGGACTTACCTGTCTTAATGGTGGACTTTACTTGGGAATTAGCTGACAAATACTTGTTTGAAATACATACTGTAAGACTTGGGGTTCGACTTCAGACTTCATTTGGGACCTCTGTCTTGACACTGGGCTTGACTTGAAACTTGCTGGTCCTGACTCGGGACTTATGTATACCTTGTTTAACAGTTTCTTTGTCCCTCCTCTGCACTCTTAGAAGCTCGACACTTACAAGCTCTCAGAAGATGAAATTAGAGTTTGTCCACAGTAAAATGCATACGTTGTTGCATTTGTGTTTATTATTAAGTTCACCATCTTACAGTTAAACCCCTTCTGAACAAGTGTTACCACAGCAACTCCACTACCCGGTGTTTGATTATCTGCTCATAGGGATTAAATATCATGCCTGCCACCTCTAGTGCCGGTAAGAAACGACTCACCAGCAAGACTAAATGGAGCACAGCCACTGTAAACAATAATCATGGAGGATCAAGGAGCTTTACAAACTGGAGTTAAGAGTGATCTGATCATAAAACATTCTGTAGTAAAACACAACCTGGAATCATTTTGAATGTTCTGAAAACATGACAAGTCCTTCACTTCTTGTCATGTTCCCCTGTTCACCTGGTGAGACTTCTTTGATTCCAGTCAAACTCTGAACAAAATCTAAATCCTGCTTCACAAACACTGTCAAATACTAAACCTGTACAAGGGCAGTGTCTGCTCACCGTAATAAAGCGCAGCTTGGGGGAGACGGAGTCGGATGAAAAGAATTTTATTCCTCTTTTCTCTCCATTGGATTTTGGAAAATAAGACATTTTCTTGATGCTACAAGGACAATCGAAGTCTGGCCTTAAAGTGAAAACACAATTGAGTTTATGCAGCTGCTGGGGTTTGTTAATATTCACTGATGTTGAAGTCTAAGAAATATTCTTTAAAGTCAAAAAACAAGGGCAGAATGTCTCCACAACAGACAGGAATAGGATACTCAAAGTTTTATGAGACTCTGAAGCATTATTCATTTTGTTTTGTCTAGAATGCGCCTTCTTTAAAGGCAAAACTAGTATATCTGCAGCATATGTAATATATTGTAACAGCAGCTTCAGTCTTTTGTCTTGACTTCACTGTTTTTATTCTATAAAGATTTAAATTCTACAAACCTTTGTGTGTCCAGTCTGCAGACACCACAGCGCTCAGCCACACTGTCACCAGCCTCAAACCAAACACTATGTACGAGTTTGCTGTCATGGTAACCAAAGGCCGCAAGTCCAGCACCTGGAGTATGACAGCACACGCCACAACGTACGAAGCAGGTAGGTCTCTCATGTTTTTGGTTAGCCCTAATTGTTACCTAAACCTTAACCCAAACTCCTAGGCTCAACCCTCAAACAGTGCTTAGTCCTCAGGGTGTCATTTCTCCTCTGCAGTGTTCCTCATAGCTGTCACATATGATGTCATGCACCACTCCAATCATCCTGGTTTTAGGGTGTGCCAGATGATATTTTAATGTGTTGAATAATCCTGGTAAGTCCTGAGTACCACTGGGTGTCTTCTGATGATTTCCGTGATTGAGACCCGTGGTTCTCAAACTTTATCAAGTCAAGGACCCCTACACTGAAACAAATTAGACCATGGACCACCATTTAATTTGTCTTACTTATGGATGGAATTATAGTAAAAGTAAATGATTCCCCTTTTTGATGGAGAACCCCTGGAACACCCTTAAGGAAAAAGCTAGTTCAGTCAGAGACACACTGGGGAAATTGACACTTATAGCAACTGGTTAAATAGTTAGATTTGGAGGAAAAGGTTCTGTTCTTTGATGAAGTTCACAAGAATCTGAGCAGCAACTAGAGTACTGCTGTAGAAATTATAGTAGTGCAGAATCAGAGACAGCTAGAAACATGCATGAACATAAAATCTGTGAGTGTAGCACATAATAAAGAGGTTGGAGTGGTGGAGAGAGCTGGAGTAGAAAATGGCATCGGCATGAACATTATTTTAGGTTGTAATGGCCATTCTTTACTCCTGCATTAATATGATTGGATATTACTGGTCAGCTGGTGGCCAAACAGCTTATGAATGAGCCACTGATAGAGATGCACCAATGAAGCAACTAGCTAACACACAATACTCCAGCAAGTGGACTTTGAGCGAAGTTTGTTGTTGTCAAATACTGATGCCAAAATCAAGAATGTACTCTCAGATTCAAGCTTGTGTTGAGTTTTAGAGTTATTTTTCAATTGTAATCGACTTTTCCTCTATCACTTCCTTTTCACTGACATGTGAACACAGAAAGTTCATAGATTTCTTCTGCCGCATTCGTTGAAAGTCATTCTAGGATACACTGAATGAGGGCAGGTTCCGGAAACATGGGTTTACCAAAACAATATGGATGCTGAACTTTTTTTATTTTCTATCCTTCCCTGAACAACAATTACTTTTAAAAAGAGGTTCAGCAATGCACAGAAATCATGTTTTGGTGCACTGAGGTGTAATGGAGAAACTCCACTCTCCCCCGCAACAACACAACAACTGTCTGCCACAATGAAACCCAACCGCAGACTCAAACCAAAATGAATGTCAAGGTATCCCTTTCAGGATGTTTACAATCATGTTTGTCGGATTTGTCACCCAATTAAGCGTGAACGGCATTACCCCCGTCGTCTCCCTGGGGCCGCTGGAATACATTGACATTCAGAGCGAGCAGACGGACTGAGCCCACTCAGTCCCTGCAGTGATCTACAAGCTCTGGACACACAAAAACACTGACCGCATTTTCACAGCAAAACACAGAAAAAACTGCCTTTCCTGCTGCTCATAATACCTCTGCCTTACTGTTAGAAATAATCATGTCTAAAACACACCAGCTGAGGGACATACTTGTTTGATGATGAGTCTTACAAATGGTGATGTCGGTCTATTTAACACTTTGGTCTGCGCAAAACCTTTCAACATCTGCTGTACAGATTGACAGTATGTTTTTTAAAAAGCCTTCCTGTGGGTAAGCTCACCGCGAGAGCGTGCACTCACTTACACAAAAGGCTACAATGCAGCAACGTCTGCATAGAAAAAGATCACGAGTGTGCAGGTTTAAATAATTCATTTGTAATGACACTTATCTGTGGATCTCCGCAGGTTATCTTTTAAAATATACCTGTGCATTGAACACTGAACATTGAATGCATGTGATAGCTGCTTCACTGTACCCAATGGCTCTTGAATAGAAGAGTTAAGTCAGGGCCTTCATGTAGTTCCCACCCACCTCCAACATGGCAGGTGGTTAGAATACTTAAATGAACTTGGGTGGGTGTTCAGGGTCTCTAATTTGTATTAATAGTAATTCTGTGTGATTTAACATCACGGTTTCGGAAGTGGTTGATGGTGGTTTGAATCCACCATGTTTTTCCCTCCAATTACTATTTTAGTGATGTAGATCAGGCGTAGTAGCCCACCGCTCAGAAGCATTGATCCTTTTTAAAAGCTCAACAGGTATCGGCACAGTGCATTTTCCTGAGGTCTCCCTTTGTGTTTATGAGAAGTACAGGTTGTCACCGTCATGAACAGGCTCAGCTGGAAGTTGTAATTTCCTCCAGCACATCATGTCAGATTTAAAAAGTGGTTTCATTAGCCAATGCTGGGATGCGAGTTTCGAGGCCGGTCCTTGTGTGGAACTTAAAAAAATGTCTTTAATCACATTTATAACTCAGGAAACACACGCAGCAATCACACACTAAAGCTCTTATAAGCTGCCACTCAGTTTCCATGGTGACAGTTGAGGAGAAAAAATCCTGAGTCCTGGTTGTGAGTGCTTGACATTTTCACAACAGGAGCAATACAACAGGGCAATTCAGAAAAGTGACAGAAATTACCTTCTGCACAATTTTCTCAAGTTCAAACAGAGCAGATTACAGGGATAAGAAAGTCACACCAAACACACAGGCCAGCGAAACTGCAGTTAGATTATTTTCAGCTCAGAAACTTCAGGTACTGTACACAAGTTCAGGTGTGTTTTTACTATATAGCAACGATAAGATGGCTTCAATGACCAGAGAACAATGACTCAAGTCTCTTGGAGGACAGAGAGACTCCTGTACTCTCTTCGTAAACACAACTCACCTGGGGAGGTCACTTTAAAAGATCCAATGTTGCTAACAATGCTCAAGAGAACGTCAGCAGGAGCATAATCATAAATTAGAACAGCATGCAGTAGACACTGTGTCTAGTAGCAGTGTGAGCATTGACATCCAGCTTAACTGAAGCTAAAACATCTGAGCGTTAACATTTTTTTTTATTCTTGCTTTTTCAATGCATGTGTTATAACAAATTAACTTAGGATGTTGTTAATATTAGCTGAGCTTTATTTATTGTTACTATTATCTAATCATTGCAGACATACTTCTTCCGGCCAAGAAATGGAGCTGTCAAACCAGGATGTTTCTGTTTGTATACAGATTCAACAAATGGGTTAGATAGTGAGCTTTAGAGGTGCTGTTGACTTTCAGCCATGCTAGGGGTTTAGGAGTGGCAATGTTGGTCTGTCCGTCAGTCGGACCACAACTTTGGGCCTGACTGAAATATCTAAACCATTGGATGAATCCTACTGACAATGGTGTTGCCCTGACTTTTCCTCTTGTGGCACTATGAGGCTCATTTCTGTGGTTTGAAGAGAAATGTCTCAACCATCATTGAGTAGATTACCATAAACCTTGATAGAGACATTCAATGCTTCTTTACCTGGTCCGTGCTTATAAAATATCCACCGTGACTTGTAACGTCATAGGCGCCCCAATGTCATCGTCCATCCCAGTGTTTCAATGTAGACATCGTCCGATGGAAATTTACATCACCCAACGCTAATTCATGCATCATCACAATGAATTACAATAACTTTTTGTTCCTCTCACTTTTAATTTAGTGCCATCTTCTGGCCAAAATTGAGATTTGTCCAATACTTTGCTTTATGACCAAATTACCTTCAAAATGAATGACATTCCTATCAACCTCAGCTGTACTTGTGTTTAGTGCTAATTAGCAAGTGTTAGCTTGGTAACACATTAAACTAAATGGTGAACATGGTAAAAAGCATCCCTGCTGAACCTCAGCATGTTTGCATTGTTATTGTGGTTATGTTTCCATGCTAACAATATCATTTAGCTCAAAGCACAACCCATTTATAGCCTCACAGAATTGCTAGCAAGGCTGCTTTATGCAAAGCAATAATAGGGTCCTTACTATAGTGTCATACTTAATTTACAGACATGATTTCAATATTGACCTTCTCATCTAGTCTCTGCAAGAAAGCAAACTATTCTTTTCACATTAGTTGTATTTTACAGTAATGAGCATTTAAAGGTGTAGGTAACCCTTGTTGCTAATTAAACATCTAATTAATTGAAAAATTGAAGCTAATTGCACCATTATATCATCCTAACTATGCTGACAGTGTTTCTCCTCTTCTTCCTATCCATCCTTAATTGACAGCTCCCAGCTCCGCCCCTAAAGATTTGACAGTGATCAGTCGCGAGGGACGACCCCGCGCCATTTTAATAAGCTGGCAACCACCGATGGAGGCTAACGGGCGAATCACAGGTGATGGTTCACACAAACACGCTAATCACCACACGTGTACTACTCTATTCATCCAAGATAAGCACTCATTGTTAAATTACAGTAACGTTACACACACAATATTTATTAATGCTGATTATTAATAATGACCATTGATCATTTAGTCTGTAAAATGTCTGAAAGTAGACCAAAATTAATTTTCTTATCAACACAGTGTTCAAGAGTTAGAATTCAGTGTTCGCTCTGTGTATCTAAACACACACACAGACTCACACACTTTCTTTCATTGTTCTCCCTCTCTTCCTCTGGGCGATCGACCCGGCTGTAAACCCGTCTGTTTTAACGAGCTCTGCCGCTCCTGCAGCGTCCTGGAGAACGAATGAAACACTCCCTGCAGGGATAACAGCACAACACACACAGATCAGATATTTTTAGACCTTATACTTTCATATTTGTTTTCCCTAATTCTCTAAAAATGTTTTCTTTATTTTATGTGTCACCTTAATTGTCTGTTCTTACCCTTTTATTAAACTTTGTGTATACAAATATGTTCAAATATTTGTCTACAGGCTTTCTGGGGTCTTAAGGTGTCTTTAGTCCTGAATTCAACATCCTAAATCAATGTGCACATCTTGAATTGTATTAATGTTAATACATTGTTAACTTGTTAATGTTAACTGCAGGAGATCATGCTAATATTAACTTACACATTTAGTATCTTTCTGTCTGAAGATAGGTACTGCAGTCTGGTTATAAATATTACCTTTAAGAAAAAAACTCTTATTGATCATATAACATCTTATCTGACAGGTTACATCCTATACTACACTCTGGATAAGAACATGCCGATAGATGATTGGGTGATGGAGGCGATCAGCGGGGATCGGCTAACCCATCAGGTTGTGGATTTGAACCTCGACACCGTTTATTACTTCAGGATTCAGGCCAAGAATGCCAAAGGAGTTGGCCCACTATCTGAGCCCATCCACTTCAGAACCGCCAAAGGTCTGTCAGAGTGTGTGTGTGTGTGTGTGTCTGTGACTGAAGATCGAGACCTCTGTTGATGTATTCCTTAGTTTTTTATTATAGAAGTTTGCTTACACTCTCTGTGTTGCACTTTCAGTGGAACATCCAGACAAGATGGCCAATGATCAAGGTAGGCCTCATCCTCCAGTAAATCATATTAAATATTGAAATCATGAAGTGTTTTTCTCATCAGATTGTCTACAGTCATCCTTATTACTCAAATTAGCTTCAAATTGATCGATTTTAAAATCCTACTTCAAATCATCTCATGTCTTTTTATCAGAACATGTCTAATTCAAGTCATCATTTATCTTCAAATCCTGTCCAATATTCAAATTATCTCCAACAATCATCTAAATATCTTTGTCCTGATATCGTTACTTTTTTTACTATTTTCCTCACACCTTGAAATCACCATGTTTTGTGACTGAAGATTGAGAATGTTGCTTAATATAAGCAGATCATTCTTAAGCTGCATTACATATGACACAGGTTAATTACAGCAAGATATTGCATTGATTCAAACGCTGAATGCTCGAAATGCAACTATAGTTCCTTGGATGATTGTTCTCAAAGTTTATGGATATCTACATATATAGCTATTTTAAAGTTATATATATATATGCTGTAGTGAAACCTATTAGTGAAATGCAGTCATTCTTTTCACAGTTGTGTTTATGTGTGCTTTGCTGGAATTTGTCTGTAATTGCAAATTCTCAAATAATTTGAAAACAATAGAATTATTTCAGTGTTTGAAAACTAGTTAGCCAGTGAGCAAAAAAATGTTGAAACTAAGCTAGCTAAAAGTAATAGGATGGATAAAATTAAAGGCTGTGGGGCTGTCAGACAGAAACTGTCTCTATTTTATGTACCAAGTTTGGTGAAGATTGGATGAAATATTGGTGTGGAACAAACGTGGGAAAAGAACTAGCTAAGAAATCCACAGGCAAATCTTCCCTATTCTGTGATTAAGGGTTCAAAAGTAGTTCATATTGTACCCCGTAATAACAGAATCTGTTCTTTTTAACTTTCCATTTTGTTACATACTTATTCCCTAACTTCACATCTTGTTCCCTTGTTCCTTACAAGGGAAAGCATTTTAATCTGATGTCAGCTACCTACTACCTCAGCTATCTACTGTCAGCTGAAAACTGAGTTTAGTATAAAGTAAAAAAAGATGAAGGGAAGGAAGATGACAAGAAACGAGTAGAGAAAATAGAAGATAGAAGGAAGAAAACAGGAAAGTGGGTTAAGTAAGGTTAGGGAGAAATGAAAGGAAGGTGGGCCTCAAAAATCAATTAAAATGACAAAATGACAGAAGAAAATTGTGAAAACAGAGAAAGTTATTCCATTTTCTTCTTTATTGAATTTATTTTTCACTTTATGCACACAACCCCGACTCATCAAGCTGAAGGAAAGTCATTTGTTAATTGCATGGCGAGAGAAATTGAAGGAGAGTAAGTGAGAGAGGAAGAAGAGGGTTTTGTAATTATTAATGCTCACATATGAGAGGCGATGGAAAGAAGCTGTTTACCATATTTAAGTTAATCAAATTAACTCAGACATAATTAACGCTCTGTTCTCTGATTCCATTCATCAGCCGCAGCAAGCAAAGGGGGACAAGATGCTAATGAACACTCAAAACTTTTTTAATTTGCTTCACTAAACTTGAGAACAGAGAAACAGAGAACATGACAGACGAATTTGTAGTTTTTAATGTCTGATTTCATTTTTTAAATGAAGTGTAATGAGCATTGGTATCATTCGGAGTCTCACCAAGAGAACTGATGATGATGATGATGATGATGATAATGATGATGATGATGATGATGACGATGATGACGACGACGACCAGTAGTGCTGCATTATTTGATGGTATAATAGGCACTAAGCCAATCCCATGAGCGCTGATTATGATTTCAACTCTATTCATGTAGTATTTTAAAATAGGAGCTGACTGTTATTCAAGATAACTTGATCCATGATTAACTAAAATTAATTACTACCTTCAAGAAACTATTTTAGCTGAATGTGAATTAACAGGATAATTTAAGCTGGATAAAATCATGTTAGCCTGGATTAATTAAGCCATGTTTAATGACCTGGGCCCTGGTCCACTGTTCTATGATCCATATATGTTGTTCGAGTATATAGTTCCATATAATATACAGGGTGTATATGGCACTCAGACCCTCTTTGTCCAAGGTGCTCACGGCTTTCTACAAATGCATTCTGGGAATTTTCAGTGCAGCTGGAAGTGCAGTGAAGCGATTCAGGCATTGAGACGCTGAACCAGGAGCCTCAGCTCCGGTGTCAGGGTGTTAAATGCTTCTGTTTGTCACTGACAGATGTGTGTCTGCGTGTGTGTGATATGTGCACATGCACACACTGCGTACCCTCTCCATATAAATCAGAAGTGTTGTCAGGGGAGGAGGGAAGATTGATGGTCAAACCTGTTACTGTGGACCTTGCGCTGTAAACACACACACATATACACACACTGGTTAATGCACACACAAAGACGGGCTGACAGGAAAGATAAGTAAGTGTGTGTGTGTTTTCAGAAACATGAAGATTTTAGAATCCAGCCTTAATCAACTGGTTTCTGTCGCTTCAAACTGCAAGAAAACATATATTCTGTTTATATTTTTGGGCACTCAGCACTGCTGCTGGATGGTGGGAGAGGAATGAACCGGCTCTTAGCTTTAAAATATGGGAGAATTATGTATCGTGTTTGGCTATAAGTTCATTTGAGATGTGAGGGCCTTTAGATCCAGTTTCCTGATGCAAAAGAGTGCAGAGGTTTTCAAAATCTCTGTCATCAGTTTTCAGTCTCTGTTCTCTGGCAGCCTCTGTGACGATCTGTTTCTGACATCCTCTTTGAATTTCCCCCTCCAATGTCGGAAATCTGGAATAAAGAGGAATGAAACAGAGCTAACTCTACCAACACAACTAAAACCACTAGGAAAGAAAATAACAATAAATCCCTTGAATGATGACTACAGAAAAACATGCAAAACAAAACTCAACTCTAAAGCCCACTTTTGGCTGGTTGACCACTCCAGTCTGGCCTGACTCTGGCTAACCTAAGGAGCACAACGGCTGATGTGCTGCGGCATCAGGTGACATAGCAGTCCCATTGATGCCAGCTGTGCGTTGATCTTATCCACGCTTCTCGCCATTTTTCTGTGGCTTAGCTAGCTTATTAGCTAGTTAGGTAAGATGACATCCCCGTTCTTGCTTTGATTGGTCGACTCTTCTTCAACGAGGGGCAACAGCACCAGACCAATTTGAGAACATGTTGTGGATAGCTGTTCAGTCTGGTCTGTAAACAGAGTAAATGTAAAGTGGTATTAGCAACATTTATTTGACCCTGTAGTAGAAACCAAAATAATTGTCCATGGCTAGCTTTTCTTCAAACCAGTTATAGTAATCAGGCTGATGATTTAGCCTCGATTAGTTCAATTTGGCACTGCGTGAGAAAATGAGCTAATCATTTCTTTTAGACTGAATGACTTCAATAATCCCATAATTCTGGCTACAACTCTGGTCTTTCTGTGATTAAGGTGCAAGCCAAAACCCTGGGCTATTATTCATCATAATGCTGCTAAAGAAGACCTTCACACTAGGGCTCAGCATAATTATGTACATTTTTCAGTCCCTTTTCCTCAACAAAATAAATATCTTAATAGAAAAATAAAGTGCTTATTGGTTATTTATATAGCGCTTTAACATAGATACCTGAAAGCACTTGGGTCCCACCTCGGTGCACGGGACCCATTTACACCAGAACGCTCACCACACCTCAGCTTGAGGCAGAGAGGGAGGAAAATATAGAGCCAGTTACTCTGGGGGATGATTAGATGAGCAGATGGAGAAAGCCAGGTTGGGAATTTTGCCAGGACACCGGGGAACCCCCTTCTCTTGCCGCTTGATCTTTAATGACCACAATAAGTCAGGACTTCAGTTTAATGGCTCATCTGAAGGACAGCATCTCCCAAAGCCTCCCCATCACTGCACTGGGGCGGTGGGAAATTATTATTATTAGGACCAGAGGGAAGACTGCCCCCTACTGGCCCACCAACACCTCTTCCAGCAGCAACTTACTTTTCCCAGGAGGTCCTAAACGACAGAATAGTTTATTTGCTAAAGATTCCCATAAGGACCGTTGAAGAGTACCAGCAACACAGGATCTTCGTCGGTATGGTAACAATAATAAACATGTTATTGTTGTGAAACGGTCGTAAAATCAGTCTACATTATGTTAGTAAATCCCAGTAAGTTACATGATGTAAGTTTACTTACCTTAACTGACCTACAAAAGTTAAAATAAGTCAACGCTGACTCTTGGTTTCACAGGGGACACAAACAGGCCTCCTGGATGAAAGTCCCGGGCTCTACCCTATCCGGCCTAACAATAAACAGTAACTATGGCTCTTAGGAAGATTTATTATATATATACCTTTATTTTTAGGGAGGACGGTCTGATTTAAACACCACTCCTGCATCTGCTGATTGTTTCATAGCTTATTAAAGAGTAGAGTTATAATAGGTATGTGAGCAAAATTTTCAACATTAAACGTGTTAAATGCAAAAACAAATTGTATTGATAGAAAGCTTGAAATATCCTAAATTATACCAAGACCACGTTTATACACTGAACAAAATTATACACAACACTTTTGTTTTCGCCCCCATTCATCATGAGCTGAACTCAAAGATCTAAGACTTTCTCTATGTACACAAAAGGCCTATTTCTCTCAAATATTGTTCACAAATCTGTCAAAATCTGTGTTAGTGAGCACTTCTCCTTTGCCGAGATAATCCATCCACCTCACAGCTGTGGCATATCAAGATGCTGATCAGACAGCTTGGGGATTGCACAGGTGTGCCTTAGGCTGGCCACAATAAAAGGATGCTCGAAAATGTCACTATTTTATGTTTATGTTTATTTCGTCCTTTATGTTCCATTGAAATCAAAGCAAAAAGCGTGCCCCTACTGCATGGCTATAACACACTCTGCTGGCTGCTTTCTTACGTTCTTGGTCAACAGAAGCAGGTTTTGCAGGCAATAAGGTTTTTGTTCAAATTCATTGAAATTTCGTTCAGCTATAGTTAAGCAATTAAACTAAATGTCTATTAGAATTTAAAGAATGTTTTTACTAACTTTCAGCAAAAACAAGACGATTTTATAACCAACAAACTTTGGCGGGCTCACAATGCCAGTATTTCAACAGGAAAGATGGAGACTTGAAAACAAGGAGGTATCTATGGTTTTTCTGGTGGTGTCATCAATCAAAACCCGGAAGTTCCGCAAAAAACAAGCCAACAGAAGTAATTATTTTCGTAGCACCGCTAGTCGCCTGTGGAAATCCCGAGTCATGTCGGAACCAAGATGTCAGCCGCGGGTAGTGGAGACAGTCACAGTTAGTTACCTAGTTATGACCATGGCTAACATTAACATATTAGAAATCATAAATCAGAAGCATTGTCACGGGAGGAGGGAAGATTGAGGCTTTCACTGTAAACACACACACAGATACACAGAGGGCTCCTGAGAAAGAATTTGGCCCCTTGTTGACTCCCCACTCCCACAGCCCACTTCCTGCCCTCTCTGCATTGTGTATTTACCCTGGGGACCCCAAATTCTCATTAAGTACATAGCTGACTGCACATGGCAGCTTCATTATTTACCCAGAAATCCAGAAACCTGCTGGCCTTTATTCATTTAGGAATATGTGTTATATAAGTGTAATATAAACTTAAACAATGTGCTCCTAAAGGTAGATTTTTTTCACAGGGCCTTTATTAAAGAAAGGGGCTACAAAAATAAGTAGTAATCAAGGGCCCACTTTAATTGATATTGTACTTAAGTGGTGCAAATTCTCTAACAAATATGAAATTAATAAAAAACTGAATTTGGGAAAATGTGGGTCCCCATGGAAATTGTTCGCTGTGCTCTGTTGGTAATCCAGTCTTGCTCATAACATTTATCTTTAGTTGTCTGATGGTGTGGGCACCTGCAAGTCCTCACCATGGGAACCATTCCAAATATCCAATGAAGTGGTCCATGGAGGTGGATAAAGGCTGATGATTTAGACTAAATGTAGTCTCAGGAGAGAACTACACACACACACAGCACACATTTGACATGAGTGGATGTGCACTATCTTAACAATGTAATTTATTTCCAATCTCTCTGTCCGATCCCTCTATCCCTTCTGCAAAATGACTCTCATCTTTTCATCCCTGCCGCGTTCTCTTTCTTTCTATTGTTCCTTCCTGATGTTCCTGTTTATTTCTGGTCCTCCAGGCCGAGGGGGAGACCACGCCTACTGGCCATCTGATACCAACCTGATTGACAGGAGCAGCATCAACGGTAACACCCCACCAACACCACCACCATCATCACGCACACACACACACACACACACACACACACTTTGGTTCTGCTTGACTGAATTTTCCTGTCAGTAGAATTACATTTGGGTTCATTATTGTACTTGATACCGCAATGAGGCCAAGTCTCCTGTGAGTTGAGCTGATTGCGTGTGTGTGTGTGTGTGTGTGTGTGTGTGTGTATGTGTGTGTTTGTGTGATATTCTGCAGCATCATCAGATCATCACAGTGACTCTGTTGTTTTCTTTGATCACTCAGCTCAGTCATGTGAAAACCTACTTTAATGACTCACTGTGTCCTGATGAGGAGCTGCAGCTCACTGATTTACAGTCGGTTAGCAACGCTTCCTGTTTGTTGTTGTCGCCGCTGGCAGGAAAAATTAATTAGATTCACTATCTCACCATCAATCAGTGTTTCTACAAACTGGAGAAAATAATTCTGTTTATTGAGCAACAGCATAAAAAGAGTGCATAGAACTCTTCCACTTGTAGTTTTTAATAAAATGATGATTATATTATTGATAGAAATTTTAAAAAAGTAGGACAGACAAAACATGATCCTTTAGATTTTAATAAAACAATAACACTAAGAATATCAAACTTCAAAATCAATTTTTGATGTAGATAATGAATGATTATTATTACATAATTACACTATGCACACATACTTTTCATATTTATATGAGAACATGTGGATAGAAGTTAGCAAGTATAATTTCTAATCACGTATTGAGATATTTTTATCCTAAGACTACCAAGACTACCACTAACCTCTAGCAAAAGACCAATATTCATAGTATTAGTAATATATCTTTAATTTCACTGTTACCTTGAAATTACCAGTGATACTTACATTAATACTAATGTTAACTAATGTTAATTAGCATGTACAGTATGCTAATGATAATGATAATACCCAGTTCAATACCAATAATTGTAATACTAAAAATATTGTTAATTCTAATGATAAAACTCATGATAATCCTAAAAGTACTAGCCTGATACTAATATTAGTTATACACATGCTAATAATGATATCAATACTTATACCTATATTAAAGTTAATGCCAATAATAATTCCCAAGCAGTTCTAATATTATTGCCAGTACTAACAATAATGCAGATGTAATACTAAAGGCAATACTCATTTTAATATTAATCATAATACACACACTAATGCTAACGTTAATGCTAACAGTACAGTGCTACTGTACTAATACTGCTGCTATTAATAACAGTGAAACCACTGCTAAAGCTAAAGCTATTGCTAATAATACAAATCATGGTCATAACCATAACTGTCTCCTCTCATTTCTGCTTTAAGTTAAACTGTTCAGTTACCCCTCCTCTGCAGTGAGGTCAGAGATCAGGGTCTATAGCTGGCAGTGATTCAGTGACCCATTGTAGGACAGTTGTGCAGTGTGTCTGTGTGTGTGTGTGTATCTCAAGATGGACTGTTACATTTTGTCGGTATTGCTGTTAGTGCTGGAGGCAGTCATAAATCTGTCCTCTCTGACCTCCGCCCTCCGCTGGCTTTATGTCAGGTCGGCGAGGGCGAAGCCTCGTTCATCAGATCCACCGTATTTCATCTTTAACACGGTGTCACCCTTTATGTTGAAGAGCTTCCTCTCACTTGAAAAACAACCTACAGAGAAGATTCACCTCCAACCCTTTCAGTCTACAGCACTGTAGGTCTATTTTTGCTGTCTGTACGGTACTCAGGTGATCTGATCCGATCTGGTCTATTGTGATCCATTGACTGCAAAGTATCTGAGCAGGCTGAAGGTCTGGGTATAGCACAGTTTGACTGCTGATGCATACATTTACTCAAGTTTCCTCATTCTCACCTCATTTTCTCTAGAGGAAGTAACATTGGCTGTTTCCTGGACTGAGACCACCAAACCGCTCAAGCAATTAAAGTTAAAAATATCTCAGTTTTAAGTGAAAGAAACTGTCTGTTCAAAAGAGTTTTTAATGGACAACATTAACATCTTGAGCCATCATATTCCCCTGAAACTCCACTGAGCTGAAAAGGTGTAAAAGACATTTTCCTCTCTATATGATCATAACAAAAGCTTCACATTTGTACAAAAATTTATTAAATTACTTTTATATACTTGTATATGTAGGACAAACAATTAACCAATCAATCAGGATGTTTATTTAGTGTTTACTAATTTAAATAGATAGCTATATAGATCTAACCAAAACATACATTTATTAATTTATTTATGTGCAATAAACTAATAAAATTGTATCCTTGAACATAATCCAACTAAACAATAAACTAAAACCTTCATGGGCAGATGTGGCAGCAATTATGTTTTTTTTTGTCTGGATAAACAGAAATTCAGTAATTTGAAGAAGCTGGCAGCTCTGTGAGGCTGTACTGAGGCACAGTGATGCACTGAGCTAAATGATGCAAAGTCAGCATGCTAATATGCTCACAATGCTAATATTCTGATGTTATGCAGGTATAATGTTTACTGTATTCACCATCTTAGTTTAGTGTTAGTTAACATGCTAACATAGCTAACTAACCCTAAAAACAAAGCATTATTGAACAAAATGAAATTTTTGACCCCATTAACATGATTAACATTAATAATGGCAAGCATGCCATTAAGGTGTCTCAGTTCCGCAGTCATGCTAACTTGCATGTTTTCTTGGCTTTCCAAATAACACTTATCACACTTACACACTAATGTTACACACCCCTCATGTTAAACCTTGATACAAGGAATGTCAATGTTAGCATTGTTAGCTAGCTAGCTACTTAAACTTTAACGTAGCTAACGCTACGTAGCTAACGTTAGAAACAATGTGGCATGGTAACTTACGTAACGTAGTAGCTAACGCTATGTAGCTAACGTAGCTAACGTTAGCAACGATGTAGAATGGTAACTTAGTTAATGTAAAGTAAATAAAAACAAAAACTAATGTTGTGTAATTATTGTTTCACTCAGGAACCAAACGCCAGTGTCTTGGGTCAGGGACCAACTTACTATCCACCCGACCACCCCTCCACCACCTTAGTGTCAAACTTTCATGGCTATATCCCACACACGCTGATTTAACTTGTGAAAGAAGGCGTAAAACGGCAATTCAATTGCCTTTTGATGATACCAGGCTGGTTGGACAAAAAAAAGGAGTCCCTCTAAACATTTTCAGGGTCCATTGTTCTTTCTGACAGGCAGCTGCATGTAAAGATGATTTGTCTACAAAGGAGGTGGCAGTCGACCACATCTTTGATTTGTCCCTTCAGTGCTACAAGGCCTTACGTTCCAGACTACAAACCAATAAAATGTTAATTGAAATTTGTGGAAATCGCCCAGCAATGGAGCTTTGTTTGTGTTTAGTTCCCCTGCAGGATTTCTGAACTTCCTGTTGCCCATGTGTTGATTTGTTGATGTTGTTGTGGCTTGCTTCTGATTTATTCCACAGTGTCTCTGAGCCGCTGGGGGTTTAGTGCCTTGCTGAAGGGCATCTCAGCAGAGGTTGTTAACGCTCCTGTTGTCATCAGCAACATACATGTTGCTAGCGGCTCAGCTTTGACCTCCACTCTGTCAGTTGCTGCTCCTGTCACTTTTTGTATTCATCTAAAACTATGGCTTTTTTTGCACTTTACGGTCCATAAAATTCTGATTTATTGTATCAAACAATTCTTGCCTTAAGGAGAAACTTACATTGGTTGGGATTATGTTTCCCATTATGCATTGTGTTATATTTAATTGAAAGTTTCTCAATACAAATTCAACAGATCAAGTGCCAAGAAGCTGCTTAGCAGAAGACTGCTTTTAAACTCAACTCAGCTAACTCAAATAAATGTGTCATCTTTGTCTCCATTTTCCCTGTAATTAGGTCTTTCAAGGAAACTTCTGAGATAATTATTAGGAAATTACAAGTGCATTACAGTTTTATGAACAGGAAGGCTGTTTTAAAGCACCACGCTGCAACTATTTTACAACAAACATCCTCTATCCCCAGACTCTAAAACGTTAATGGGGGAAAAAGTCAAATTTAACCTAAAGATGTCATTTTCTCTGTAGGAACAAATCTGATGAGTCACCAATCAGCAGCTGCTAATGCATTAACTCACCCGATGATACAGGAAATTTACAATATTACTTAACAAGGGGTAAATTCACCCTGTTGGGTTGGCTGTGGCTCAGGAGATAGAGCGGGTTGCCTGTTATCAGAAGGTCGGTGGTTCAATACCCAGCTCCTCCAGGTTGCGTGTCATTGGGCAAGATACTGAACCCCTCTGGTGGCTGTTCCGCCAATGTTTGAGCACTTAGGCTGGTGAATGCAGATGCTTTGAGTGGTCGAAAAGATGACTATACAAATACGGAGCATTTACATTGCTAACTAACACTAAAAACAAAGCACGGCTGATGGGAATTTTTTTAGTTTTGCAGTGATTTGCTCATAAACCAAAGGATTGAACAAGATGAAATTTTGACCGCATTAACAACATGATTAAAATTAATGATGGCTGCATGCCATTAAGGTGTCTCAGTTCCGCAGTCATGCTAACTTGCATGTTTGCTTGGCTTTCCCTCAAATTACACTTTCTAATTTCACTTACACACCCCTGATGTTAAACCTTGATACAAGGAATGCCAATGTTAGCATTGTTAGCTTGCTAGCTACTTAAACTTTAACGTAGCTAACGCTATGTAGCTAACGTTAGAAACAATGTAGCATAGTAACTTACGTAACATAACGTAGTAGCTAATGCTATGTAGCTAACGTTAGAAATGATGTAGCATGGTAATTTATGTAACGTAACGTCACCCCTTGTTAAGTAATATTAATAATAGGATGTCATTATGATGTCATTATTATTATTATAGTCTTCCTGTAATCTGGTTCTGAGCGTGTGTTTTGAGTGTTTAGAATGTCAGTCCATCCATCAGACTGGTATCTCAGATTGCCATCAAATACTTCTTCCCACAGGTAAACACACTATTGATTTTATTTACCTCCTTGATCTTTACTCTGGCACTACCTTGAAGGCAGGAGCATACGTCAGCAAAGGGTCAGATTTCAGTTTGAAATGAAAGACTTGTTTTAGATGATGAAATCTAACTTTAAAAAAGAACAGAAAGGAAAGTGATATTGTGGCCCCTCTGCTGCAGCAGCTGTAAGCTGTGATGGATTGTGGAATTCATTGAGAGGGACGACTGAATGGAGAGAGAGAGAGAGAGGTGAAAGAGGTAAAGTGCCTCTCTCTCGCATTTTTCTTAATCTTGCTCCATGTCCTCCCCCTCTCCTGTCTTCAACCCACCGTTCTGCTCTTTCTTTTTCTCTTACCCCTCTCTATCCCCCCCTACTCTGACTGCTTTCTCTTCCTACTGTCTCTCTTTCACTCTTTAAAACACTTCCCTCTCCTCTCCATCCAGACTTCATGATCCTCCTGCGTTTCCTATTTTCTCTCTCTCTCTGCTCCAAGGTCGAGTTAATGAATGACAGAGCGTGTCATCAATTCCCCTTCCCTTTTTCCCTTTACAACTGTCACACACACACACACACAGACACACACTGTTTATTGATTGGTAAAGCAGCTGCAGCAACTTTGTGTTGTCAGTCCAGTGAAACCACTTCAGGTTTCACCTGGTTCTGCAGGCTTTTTTTCCCGTAGCTGTGTGTCTTTATATCTAAAATTCAAGACTTTGAGAAGACTAAAACAAGACAACTTAACTAAGGTGGATAAACAGGATCATGATTAAATGTAATCCAGTAATTTGCCTGTATTCATGTTGCATTTTCTGTGCTGCTCCTCACCACTCAACATTTCACAATTCAAATCAATATCATTGAGATAAACAGAAAATAATGAATTTACATAAAGCTTAAGTCAAAATGTCATATAATAAAGCTTTCAAATTCAGTGACTACAGGAAAATATCTACAATATAGGTGGCATACCTTCTGTGGAAGTCTGTGGCTGCCAATATTAAATTCAACTGAAATTGAAATGTAATTTTAACTTTCTGTATATATTAAGTATGCTCAAATAAGAATACTAATTTTAAATGGTATTTTCCATTTTAAATTCCTGTATAGTTAAAGGGAAAATTGCAATGACTTAAGCTTAACTTAAAGTAAAATGAAAACTATTTTTATATAACCTTTAATGTAATCCTAAACCTAACAATGAGAAAGAAATTGAATTTAAAAACGTCTTTTCATTTCAAACAAAACTTAAAACCAAAATTCAAACAGGGTTTTTAATGTGAATTTTGTCCATTGATAATTTTGATCTTAGCTGATTACCTAGAAACAGGTCATTCTTCCGGACGTCTCATGTCAGATCTGTCAGTCAAATATTATATAATTCACCATGATGAAAATTTGTGTGCAAAATGATTTTTCCCTTTCAATATACCAAGAAACCAGTAAAAATCCGGAAATTGCATTGATGTTTGGCTTACTTAATTTAAAGATGAAATTGAAAAGTCAATTAGGCATTCAAGTTAATTCCTATTGTGGCAGTGTTATCCCTTAGGCCCTCCACAGGCAATTCCCATATCTTTTACGCTCACGTCATTTATACTCTATCAATACGTTTTTTTTGCTTTTCTTCATAAATTACTTCATAAACAACTTTCTGCCCTACTTTAAACTACCAAACATTTCATAATTTTCATGATTTTAACCCTTTAAATGCCAGTTTAAGTATTTGAATTATTGCATATTTAATACAAAAAAACTAATTATTTTCCATAAATTAAATAGTACAGGGATGGGGCTTTGGTGGTATTTAGTGTCTGGGATATGTTAAAGATTAGCAACAAAATTGATTTGATTGCATTAGTATTTTCTATGTAGTGCCAGATACTCACTCTGGATACCTTTGTGGCAAAAATATACACACACAAAAAAACCTGCTGTTAAATCATCATACATCCATATTTGTTTTGCTTTTTTTTCACAAATCACTTAAACAACTTCTACCCTGCTCAAAACTACCTTACATTTAATACAGATAAGGAAAACTCCAGTCACAGATCTGACGATTTTTTATAGCTTCTCTTGTCTTTTAAATGTATTTCAGAGTCTCCCATTGGTCAGATGCGTCCACCTCATGGCAGCGCCACGCCTCAAAAGAACAGTAACCTCCTGGTCATCATCGTAGTTTCCGTGGGAGCTGTCACCGTAGTTGTTGTTGTCATCGTGGCGCTCATCTGCACCCGACGCTCCTCCGCCCAGCAGAGGAAGTAAGTTGTTCCAGTTCTCTCTTATACGGCAGAAATGATGGAGAGATGGTTGTTTGTTTTGTTTTTTATAGGAAGTGTGTATCAAATGTGTTCCTAGCAACCAACACAGGTATGAAAATGTTTACCAAATCAAAAAGGACATGTGACTAAAATTCATAAACCGGGGATGCACCTGATTTCTTAGATCTTTATCTAGATCTTTATTTCAGCAGGGGTATTGAATTAGAATTCAAAGAGGTCCAGTTAGAGAAAATTTCACGGAGCAAAGGTCCAAAACATCAAAACAACTAACTTGTGTTATCATTCAGTGCCATAACGTATAGTTGTATCAACATATGTTTTTAGTCAAACACTTACAATATTTCAACAATATTCAGTTTTCACATCAAAACTGGAGGGATAATAATAAAAAACTAATCTAATAATACATTTTTAATTTAATTAAACTAAAATAAAGTGCTTAATTTCAGGGAAAAAAATCATAAAAGGTGTAGCTTGAAGTGATGAAGTGTAGCCTTAACCAATTTTATAATAAACACTCAACACATCTTAACAAATGAACAGCTGTAATACCTCTTCTTCTCTTTCATTCCCTCTTACATAGCTACTACTTCCCTAGTTTCTCTTGTTCAGTGAGAAACGTGAGCTCTAGCTTGTCTTGCCAGCTAACATTGGAGATCTATGAGATAATCTGGTTCTGAACGTGGGAGGAATGTACATGTAAGAATCTGTACATTCTTGATTAAAAGCCTTGTGAAATCTCTTTTCTCTTTCGCCTCCTCTCTCCCTGTGTGTTTCCAAAATATCTTCGGTGTATTGCACTCGCGGACTCACAATGCCTGTTGGAATGCACAGATTTGATTGGCTGAGCAGCCTCACATGATGACGATCAGAGCGTATGCGATTGGTCTGTGAGATTCCAGGGCCGTTAAATCAGTACAATAAATGCTAGAAAAAAGAAACGCTCCGTCACGAGGTAGTAATTCTCAATAATAAACCGGCTGTAGGTTGGCGGTCTGTAGAGGACGGCGGCTCGGTCCGGATCCGGACCGCGGTCTGCCTATTAGTGACCTCTGCCCTACAGTGCACCAACCGTTCCGTTTCAACTGATTGATTGATTGATTGATTGATTGATGTAGCAGCTCACTGTGGCTGCTCCTGACTGTTCCATGACTCCCTCGCAAACTATTTAAAGTGATCTGCTGAGGACAAATGGGAAATAAAGGCGTTTCCCGTGCTAACTGCTTCATAATAAACGGTGCCCTGTGTTAACATGAAGCAGCAGCAGTAGGATGTCCCGTTTGCATTAACAGTAACCTAAAGTGTCTCTGACACAGTTTAAAGAGCGCAAGCAGTAAACAGGGAGGCTGATATTAATGAGATAAAACTACTCCACCAGTATCAATAAGGAATACTATATATGGAGGATGTAACAGAATGTAGATACGTTGAATGGCTATTGCAGGCAAAACGCAGACCATGAACAGTATCAGAAATGGGTCATGAAAATCTTTTTCTTATTCATTCAGTATAATTTCATAATTCAGTAAATTTCCCTCTGTTTTGTTTATTAATCCAGTTCAGAGTGCTTCTGTGTTATTTCATAATCTGGTTCATGTCGTTACAATTAGTATCATTTCGTGACATTTCAGTTGTTATCATTTTGTAATACAGTTGCAGTCTAGTCTAGTGTTATTATTCACTTCACAAAATCTAGTCAAAATAATTCTCATCCAGATGAACAGGTTTCAATAGGTATTGTGTTCTATGATTTAGTTCATCGGGTTTCAGTGCAGAGCAACAGCACAGAAATGAAGAGTACACAGCCCTTGTCCTCTTTGTCTCTCCATCCGCCATTATCTTTTTTTTATTGATTTCTTCTTGCTGTCTGTGTAAATTGCAGCCTACATAAGTGACAAATGGTTTCATGATGGATGTACATTTCTGTTATGGTATGGGATTTGGCGGGTTGCTTAGGGACATGACTCTAACAGCAGTCTACCCACGGTTTGTTGTGTTGTCCACTAGTATCAGTCCCTCAGTTTGTTCTTCCTCACATGTTTACATTCCTTCCCACCTTTCCCACTGACCTCCTCACCTGTGTGTTTCTGGTTCTCTGTGCAGGAAGAGAGCGAGCCATAGTGCCAGCAAGAGGAAGGGCAGCCAGAAGGACCTGCGACCTCCTGACCTCTGGATCCATCACGAGGAGATGGAGATGAAGAACATGGAGAAAGCCCCCAGCGTCGCCCCGTCCGGACATGATTCGCCCATCCAGTCCTGCCAGGACCTCCCACAGATCGCACACAGCCAATCAGAGAGCCAGATGGGCAGCAAGAGCAGCCACTCAGGTACAGAATGGATGCTGATTCATTCTTCTTTTTAATTAAATCATTATTTGTTTATTTAAGTGTGAAGGTTATTTAAAATAACCATCACTAGCTTAATTTTGTTTACTTGTTTTTCATATTTTTATTTAACATATAACATCATGCCCCCTAACTTTGTATAAAAAGCAAAGAAGGTTGTTGCTTTTTTGTTTGGGTTTCTTTCTGTATGCAGATTCATGTTAGGATTCATCTTTTTGTCACAATATCAAAATTTCAACAATCTCAAACAATCTCAAAACAATAAGTAAGGATGAGATCAACTTTATTGTCCCCTAAGGGAAATTAGGCATAAGGCTGCAGTAACAAACAGTAACACATATAGACTTTACACTCACATGCATCATACAGTCCACACCATACAAGTATCTGAGACATGCACATTTCCTTTTAACTGGTTATCTAATTATATACCCAAGTACTTATACTTATATGCTCTCACTTCCCTGGGATCAAATATCATCTCTTTTGTTTTCAAATTATTAAGGATGAGATGATTCCTCACACACCAAGAAAAATTTTGTTTTTGCATGCTAAATATTTCTTAATTGGTATTATAAGTGTTGAAGAAACATTACCTGAGCTAATTAATCTTGTTTTGACAGCTTAAAGAAGGGAGCAGAAATGTGAAGTTGCCATTTTATTATTTAAATCTTTGGATGTTCCAGGAGCTGATGGTGATGATGTATCCAGCAGCATCTCCACTCTGGAGCGCTCCCTGGCTGCCAGGAGGGGGACGCGAGGCAAAATGATGATTCCTATGGACTCACAGCCGAGCAACACACGTAAGAAACACATGTGAATCTTAAACTCCTTTAACTGAGTTTTACTTTTGCACAAAGGTTTTCAGACGCAACAAAAGGTCTACTGCAGCTCTGTGAGGCTGTACTCAGGCACAGCTGTGCTCTGAGCTAAATGCTAGCATGATGTTTACCATGTTCCCCATCTTAGCGTTGCCATGCTAATATTTTGACTCTTTTTTTGATTGGTTGTTGCAGCCTGTGTCTCTAGTATAAAGACGGTGTTTCGTCTTGAGAGTTTGATGCATGAAGTTTTAGGGTAAAATTTTGCCTTTTCAGCTGATTTAGTGCTGACAGTGAGTAGGGATTAATTACATGTGAAATAGCTGAGAGTCACATGTGCTTTTGTAATGTGTATTAGTCATGCATGAAATTTACTTCATATGTGGTAAAAATTGGCCTTTTGTAAGGGCAGTTTTGTGCCTTAACAAGGTCCACAGATTCCCAGTAAATACCTGCACGGATTACTGAATCCAGGAGCACAGCCAGCATGGACTGAATATATGTTACATTATGCTTTACATTATGGGTCGGGGTTCTTTCACTTGGCACATGGAACATCACATGACATGTCCGCAGCAGTGAGGTGTCTTAGGCTGGCGAAGGTTCATCGTTCTCTGCGTGGTTGAGATGTAAAGTCTTTCATGCAAAGACAGAAGTGAAGTTGAGGGAAGAGAGGACACACATACACACACACACGCACACACACTGAAAATGACACACTCGCACAGATTAATTAGCCTGTATGTTCCTTCAAACTGACTCAGAGGGGAGACGGAGAAGATCTGAGGGCGAGCGAATGGGGAGAGGAGGACGAGCAGAGCAAAGACAAAAACAGGGAGGGAGGGGTGAAAAAAAGAAAAATGTGAGAAAGAGAGAGAACAGAAGTGTTGCTCTAAACCCTTAAGTGTCGATTAAAGTGTGTAAGGCCAGATGAGATGAGATGTGAAGCTTCTGCACTCCAGCAGTGACTCTGATGATGTTCAGTCATGAACATCATCAGAGTCACTGAAACATGTTAATATCTCTATCTCTCTTGTTAATATCTCTTCACCTCTGCTCAGTAAAAACACAAGTTCCTTTCATATTTGTACTTGGCCTTTTTTTGCCATTTACATTAATTGTTTTTTGCAACAGTTGGCTGCTGAACAACATAATTTTGCTTTTAAAGGCAGTTAATGTAATGCATACTAAAACACCTGTTTGGCATAAAATAAAGAATAGTTGGAGCCTGCACTGTAGACAAATTTAAGAATGTTTCCTGTTTCAGGTCAGTGTTCCCCTTTGTTCGAGTTTGACCCTCAAACTCTCACAGTCGACCACAGAAAACACTGCTGCACTTTGTCTGGAAATGCAAAATTCATTATTTTACAAGTGTGTCCACGACCTTTTTAGTCAACAAGACAAAAAACGTTGTTTGTCGACACCCTTTAAGACATTTAGAAGCGTTTTCTGATGTCACTATCAGAAGGACGACATCATTTGTTTGTGCCTTCCAAAACCGATGCAAATCATTGTTCAAAAATAAATGTTTCATGATGTGACAACACGATTAAAATTTTATTTACATAGCCCAATATCACAAACCACAAATTAGCCTCAAGGTGTTTTACAAAAAGTACAGCATATACCACCCTCTGTTGTTAGACCCTTTAACAGGGAAAAAATTAAAGAAGAAACAGAGGAGGGACCAGGACAGGAATCAGATGTTGTGTGTACAGAATAGACTGACATAATGCCTATGATCTATAACAGAATTATAGATCAGAGGCATATTTGAAGAATATGGATCAAAAATAGCGAAATGCAGTGGTTTTCAGAATGTTTCACTGTGATTGGATTGAAATTAATCAATTCAAATGTAAAAATTATTTTTTTTTAAAACTACCCAAATAATGACTTGTTGCAAGTCGCCATTGCGTTGCAAAATAATTGCAGGCATAACTTCTGGTTAAAAAGATTGTGACACCACATGTCAGGTAGGGTGACCAGATGAGAATAGGTGAAATTCAGGACAAAGGATCGGGGTTGGGCATGGCATCCAGTACATTACATTCAGTCTCAATGAACAGAAAAACTATTGGGCTAGGTTAAAATTAATTTTTTTTTAATATTCAACTGTCTGTCATTAGGAAAAAAACACAATTACTGTGTTGTATGTAACAGTGTGTAAATCAAGACCCGCGACCCCCCTGGAGCCAATCCCAGCTGACATTGGGCGAAAGGCGGGGTACAGTCCTGGACAGGCCGCCAGTCCATCGCAGGGCCACACATAGAGAAACAACCACTCACGCTCACATCCACACCTAATTTTATTAATTAACCTAGTCTGCATGTCTTTGGATGGTGGGAGGAAGCCGGCGCACCCGGAGAGAACCCACGCAGACACGGGGAGAACATGGAAACTCCACACAGAAAGGCTGGGGGTTAATACAGTTTATTTAATTTAATTCATTTCATCAGTGCAGCGCTTGTCACATCTGTCTGCACAACACTCGCTTCAGATCGCTTGTTCTCCTTATCACTTCCTCTGTCCTCATGGCTGTAACTTTCATTATCTACACTAGAAAACACGAAGGGCAAAAGAGCATGCATATTACTTTGTGTGACACAACACCTCTGTTTCCACAATGTCCATGATATCCTGCAGTACCTGCTGTAGCCAATAGATGAATGATGAATGCCATTTATGTGGCAGCTCTGCTCCTAATTCAGGACTGTCCCAAATATTTCAGGACGTCTGACACCCCTAATGTCAGTACACAGGAATTTTCCAGTTTTGATTCCCGGTTCTTGGAGAATTTTCCTCCAAATTTCATCATTTCATAAAATCCAACAAAACACTTCCACCTGCTCTGTTAGAAAAGGAGAATTACTGCTGAAGTGTGCACACTGTAAAATGTGGATAGCACCTTGCTATATTTCAGGTAAAATAGTCATTCCCATTTTATCTAAAATCCATAAAACGGACTATAACACTACAGATATTGTTATCAGGTTAGAATATGACACATTCTGTGATAGAGGATTCATATCACCCAGTCCCCCAGCATACGTCTTCTCCATAACAGCTGAAGTGACAGACTAGAAATATTGAATTCACTTGAGATTTTCCACACCCACAAAGTCCTGATCTTCTACAGCCGTCTGCTGGAAGAGTCTGCCTCTTTGTATTAGACTAAAATTGATTCACTGCAGAACTCACTGAAAAGTGTTCATGCAAATAAATTTAAATAAATTGGTGCAGTGGTTAGCACTGTTGCCTGAAAGCAAGAAGGTCTGGGGTTCAAACCTCGGCTGCTTCAGGCCTTTCTGTGTGGAGTCTGCGTGGGTTCTCTCCGGGTGCTCCATCTTCCTCCCACCGTCCAAAGACATGTGCGGGTTAATTGGCGATTCTAAAGGTGTGAATGGCTCCCTTAGGTGTGAATGTGTGTGTGTGACTGGTTGTTTGTCTGTGTGCTAGCCCTGCCCAACGTCGGCTAGGATTGGCCAGCTCCCCTGCGACCCTGCACGGAATAGCGGTTGAAGATGATGGATGATGCTTATGATGATGACTGAAAAGTCTATCACAGTAAATCCATCGGGAACCCTTACCAGTCATGCACCGACATAGTCTGACCCTCACTGGTAATATCTAATGTTTAACAGTGATCAATCAGAACAAAATGACACCAGCAAAATGTCAAGTTCTGTATACCCCAATATCACAAATCACAATTTGCCTCGAGGGTCTTTGCAATCTGTACGGCACATGACACCCTCTGTCCTTACACCCTCAATTCAGGAAACTGAACTCCCCAACAAAACTTTTAACAGGGAAACAAAATAGCAGAAACCTCAGGAAGAGCAACAGAGGAGGGATCCCTCTCCCAAAATGAGACTTATGTCCATGAATCTGGTGCCCCAATGCATGCTGGGGAGTTTCCCGACTCACCTAGCTCATACACCTGCAATCAAATGATCAGCCAGAGTGCTTGAGTCGTTTCAAAGCTACTCAGTTTATTTCAAGATACATTTCAGAAGATCTCCATCCAGGATCAACAATCCATCCTCAAACTGTGTTCAAAGCTCCAAAATAGCTGGATGAGAATTTACCGGATCATTTCAGCCTGATAATAGCTCGTTAGCCTGGGTTAGCTAAACGGAAGAACGGCCCAGCTCTGTCATCACCTCCTGTCAGCTCCGTCACACTGTGGGTGGAGCTCATAGTGGTTGTAGCTGTCTGTAAACAGATCCACCTGTCAGTGGAAAACTGCTTTAATTTATCGGCAGACTGATGCCGAACATGTGCAGGGTTTCTGAGAACAGCAGTGACACCACATCACGTCTGTGAACCAGTTTCTAGTCTGCGGAGAAGCACATCCTCTAATTACTGCCTTCTCTCTGCGGAGTGTGTGTGTGTTCAGTCACATCTCTCTGACTGTAAGTTTCATATTGTAATTACCCCGCTCTCAGTCTGCCCGCGTGTCCTCCTCCTTTCTCTCCCCTTTTCATTCTTCTTCTGTCGTGTTGTTTACTGCACTAACAAACTGAACACTGAACACAACGATCAGGTTACAACACTGTGTGGTTTTTCTGGAGTGTGAGTCAGCGGGTGACTGATAATTTCTCCTAGCATGTGAGGAGCACTCTTGTGTGTGTGTGTGTGTGTGTGTGTGTGTGTGTGTGTGTGTGTGGTATGTGGGTCACAGTAAAACAGGAAAAGGCTTCGGGCTCAGACCCATCCTCTTTTTTTCTCTCTTTCTATCAGTTGTCATGTTTTATGCTAGTTTTTTGTGGTCTAAATTCAGTCACAAAGGCGCCATCATTCTGTCTCTTCTCCTCCTTCATTCATTCTTCCACCTGAGGTTTGTTACCAACCCCGTGTCCTCTCACGGCTCTTGCACTGGTCATTTGCACAACAAAATGGCGATAATCATCCATTATCCAATGTGACAACACACATTTTTACTATTCAAATCTCACGGAAAGACTGTTTTCCTCTTCTTGTCAAATGAAATGTCATTACAGAAATTTAGTAATATGAATGTTTTTTTATTGGATTAATTCTTTTATAGTATAAAGTATTTCTATTGCATAGCATCATTTATTACATTTTATCTATATTTTATGAAATGCCTTTCATCAAACAACCACATTTTGTAATCAAGATGTGACTTTATGGCTACGTTCAGACTGCAGGCCTTAATGCTCAATTTTTATTCCCAGATCCGTTTTTTTTGTTCAGTTCACATTATTGTTTAAATGTGGCCCATATCAGACTCCAGTGTGTTCTGTCCGCGGCCTGAAAGTGACCCGCATGCGCAGAAGAATAACACAACATCACACACAGCACGCTGTCGTAGGCTACAGAAGTAAACAAGCCACAGAGGTTAGCTCCAGTTAGCTCCTACTTGCTAACTCTGGCTCTCAATGGAGAATATGGGTTCTAAAACAAACTTTATTCATATGTTTAAAACATAAGCATGATCCAACAGCAGTGATCCTAACAGGAATCCAGTGTTGTAGCCATATTGTAATGAAAGAATCTTGCACATTTATTTCTTGCTACAAATAGGGATCTAGCTTAGGCAACGACCAGCAGGAGTGGTACTAAATGAAGAGCTTTTTGGGAACAGCTCTTGTAAATTTGCAACCTTTCATATACATATTTTTTTATTGTCCTAAACTGGCTTGGCAGCAGGGGTGGCATGGCATGACTTGCTTCTGTCTCTTCCTGTCTGTTTCTACTGAAGCAGCTCAAGGCTTCTTTCTCTTTTTTCCTCTTCTGCCACATCTCTGCTCTGCAGACGACAGACCCACTGATCTCTTTATCTACCTTCTGGTTTTTATCTCTTTGTGTCTGCTGTCTGGGTTTCTTCTCTCTGTCGATCATTTCTGTCTTCTCTCTCTTTTGAGCAAGCTTTTACCCATTCTTCTCTCTTTTATCTCACTTTCTCGGCTTTTTCTCTCTTTGTTTTTGTCATCTGATTCTAATCCCTTCTGTCTCTCCTTAACATTAGTTTGTCTTTTTCATCTGTCCCCTAATGTTTCTGTTGACGCCTTCATTTCTCTCTGTCTTTACTTTCTCTTATATGTCACGCTCTCTTCCTTTCTTTTTTATCTCATCATAACCTACATTCTCTCTCTCTCTCCCTCTCTCACATACACACAAATACACACTCATGCACACCTCCATTAACCTGTAGCTCACTGCACCAAAGTCATCAATATTCTCAATCAATAATGGTATTGATCAGACTTGCTCATCTCTGGTCGTTTCGCTGCTGTAATCAAACCCTGCTTCTTTTTAAGTGATCACAGCACAATTACAGTAAACAACACACACACACACACACACACACAAACACACACACACACACACACGCACCTCCTAAAGCTGCTGATCACAGCTGTACTGCTTCCAAATAATCAGTACTTTCCAATCAATACTAGTATTGATCAGGGTTTAGTAGAATTGGAACATGTGGTTCAAAACAACTGGAAGCAGGATGCGGAAGAACCCCCCCCCCACCCTTTTCTGTCAGTCAATTCAATTGAAAAAGCTTTATTGACATGTGTTACATAATGAATATTACAACATTTAGACATTGTTGTTACAGAAAATGAGAAATACACATTTTAAGTGAGGTTTTTGGATAACACATGACATTCCATAATGTACCTTACACAGCTGGGGGGGGAGCGTTTCTACCGAATGACATCAAAGTGTCTGATACTCAACTGTTTATGAGAACTGGACCCTTTGTGATGAGGTGACATGCCTCAGGGACCCCCTCCCTGAAGGAAACTACTTACATGTCCTGCTGCATGTATGAAACGTATTTGTACAAAACTACATTCAAGTCACATTAATCTGCTGAACATTCCTGGAACATGGCTAACTAGGCAGTCAGTGCACTGCCAAGAGTACTTCCTGTTAGTCAAAGACAAATGAATATAAAATCAGGAGGCTAAAGGTTTGTAGTATGCAGTAAAAGCAGACTGTGTGGACTGTACTGATGGTTGATTTAAAAAGTAGCGACCCAGTTGTGGTGAGCATGATTTTAAAAAAACAAATTTTTTGGGCATTATTTTTTATTTATTTGATAGGACTGTATATAGACAAGGAAATGAGGGAGTAGGGGGGACATGCAGCAAAGGGCCGTAGGCTGGACCCGGGACACTGCATTAAGGACTTTGCCTTATGCATGGGGCGCACGCTCTATCAACTGCTAACTGCATCCTGGAATTTTAAAAAAATCCAATGTCAATGACAAGATATCTGTTGATAGATTGGAAAAAGTTCTGCCAGTGACAGTTGTCTGATGATGATAAACTGATGGGATCCACTGAAATATTAGACATACTTTTAATCAGTACTCTCTTCACCAGTCCCATGTGCTTTATGTGCAGAACAGTTTCAGTTTCATCTCCGTAGGTTGTTTTTTGTACGGATTACACAAATGAGATGTAAGTTTCCATTAGCGAGCTTAACGCTGGTTGACAGCTTTTTTTCACCTTTGGATTGAGACAGCCTAGCTGTTTTTTATGCTAAGCTAAGCTAACCAGCTGCTGGCTGTAGCTTCATATTTAGTGTGCAGACATGAGAGTGGCATCGATCTTCTCATTTAACTCTCAGCAAGAAAGTGAATAAGCATGTTTTTGTCTATTATCTTCCTGTCCAGAAACGGTGATGTAAGTCACAGCGCTCGCGTAGCTGTTGACTCAAACCGAGGTCACAAACAACAACCGGAGGTGTATTCAAGAGCACTGTTTGGCACAAGCGATTGCACACAATGCAGCAATCCTTCATTGATGCTTCTTTTTTTAGTTTAAATTACATCCACTGTTTGGAACACTGTACCTTTAATAATATTTTCTGTATTTAAAACATTTCATGAACATACAATAACAATGCAAAATGCAATATGGAACGCACCTCTAGCGTGTCTGGATGTGCATTAAAAAAGACAGTGAGAGAGAGACACAAACATGGGATGCAAGAGAGAGATGCACACACACACACACACACACACACACACACACACAGCACACTGTCTCTTCAAGCCTGTTTAGAAGATAAGAAGCACCCCTCTGTGTGTGTGTGTGTGTGTGTGTGTGTGTGTGTGTGCGCGTGTGTGTGTGTGTGTGTGTGTGTGTGTGTGTGTGTGTGTGTGTGGTGTACCTGAGGCAGTGTAATCAGTCTCATGAGTCTGACTCCCTGCAGTTTCCTCTCAAGGTCACAATATGAACTCTGTCTGGTCTGACTACTTTCCTGGCTGTTTCTCCTCCTCCCCTCTGTTTACAGCAGCTCTCTGCTCTGGCTGGCTGCTTTACTGACTGCGTTCACTGGTTGACTGTCTTTGTGACTGACTCGTAGGGTTTTTATACTGTGAAATGTTCTGCTAATACTGAAGCATCCCTTGCAGTAATTCTCCTTATAGTTAGCAGAAGCCCTAAATTAATGTCAAAACTGAATATTTTTATGATTAAGATCATGTGCCTTCTTCTGTTAGGTATTTATTTTACTGAAATAACCAAAACCAGACATTCCTGACATTGTTGTTTATGTTTCAGCAGGGGTCAATGTCTTTGAGACTCAATTTGTTGTCTTCTAAACTGTGTCAGTTGTAGTCACGGCCTGCTTTACTGACTGTTCTGTCTCTGTCAGTGCTGTCTCGCTCTGGTTTTCTGACCGTTGTGTCTGCGGTGTGGCTTCCTGCTATACTGACTGTTTTGTCCGTCTGTTTCAGCGGTGGTCAGTGCCATCCCGGTGCCAGCTCTGGACTCCTCTCAGTATCCTGGTATCCTGCCTTCCCCTTCCTGCGGCTTCACTCACAACAAGTTCAGCCTGAGACCGATGCCTTTCCCCAGCCTGACCGTGGACAGAGGATACACACCAGGTACTGCAATACCACTACTACTAATACTAGACTACTACTGATACTATTGTAGAGACAGTGATACAAACCAAGTACTGCTAATATTACTAACTACTGAAAATACTACAGTAAAACTACTATTATACAGACAACAGGTTCACCAGCATTTCAAGGCTTCCTCGCAGATTGTCTGTCCACATTATTGAATAAAACACTACACCACAGTGCTGAACTGCTGCATACTGCATGTGTTATCATTTATTTAAATTTGAAACAGCCTTCATTAACATAAAGTCAAGAACTGTAAATAAACAAACACACGACTAAAACCTTAAAGACCTCAGCTGCTTTCATTCCATATACACTGTAACCACAGATCATACTTTCTTCAGCAAAATCTGAATATTACAGAATTACACAGACTAACATGTATAAATGAGAGCACAAACCCCTTTTTACCAGCAATATTATAATAATAATATACTAATATTAAAAAAAACAATATACCAATTGTTATATTATTTTGGTTTGTATTTTTGAATAATTAAATACTTCAAATAATACTACTATTACTACACTACTTAAAGTGGCTCAGACAACATCAGATATTTCTAACAGACTCAAGGCTAACATTGGGGGCTGTGATAAGTCCTGCTCTTATTTGGATTCGGGAAACTCTACACTCCAGTAACCATAATTACCAAACACAACTGTTTTCAGGTCAGTTATGTTAAAAGTGTGTATAAAAATGTGTAAGCCAAGCTGCGACAAGTTACTTTAATTATGTAGCTAGCGCCAGATGACAGGCTGCCAGCAACAGCCGACTGGGGAAACTGCTTTTCAAAAATAGTTTCAAAAATTATTAAGAAAGTAAATCTGCCCCTTTTCACTGGAAAGTGCATATGTGCCGTGCGAGAATGGAAAGCTTGACAGGTATAGCAACAGTAACTAAGGGACAGGGCATAGCAAATGGTCATTTACATAGCCAAGGGCATTTAATAATACAGTAGCTACCACTACTGATGTACTGCATACTGTTAGTACCATGGTTTGGGGTTGTTGTTGATGTATCACTTTTATAACTAATATTGCTATTGCTAGGACTACTGCGTGTGTTAATAATAGAAATAATAGTGCACATAATAATAATACTACAGTCTTAACCTTTATTGAATACAACAGGACTTACACTGCATTATCTTAATCCTTCCAGCTCTGCCTCCACTGTTCCCCTCCTCCTCCTCCCTCTCGTCTTATTTAAGCCCCGTTTTGCTGCAGAGCTAAATGCTAAACGACGTGGTGGGGAGCAATAATTCAGTAATTGGCTAATTCCTGGTCGGCTTGTTTCAGTGATTTAACAACAGCAGAGAGAAGAGGAGAAGCTTCAGAGCCATTGAATTAGCTGACACACTGGGAGGGCTGATCACTGCTGGCAGAACACCCACACACAATGAGCTGACAGGAGGGTGGGGTGGGGTGGGGCAGCTAATGACAGAGAGGCAAATATAATGAGCCGGAGATACAGAGGCAGTTAATGAGGGAGATAACATACACTTTAAAGTCATGCAAACAATGAGAGCTTCACTGATTGAAAAGTGAATGGTACAAGATTGTGTCCATAAGGAGTCAACTACAAGTCCCAGATAGCATTTCTGAAAGAAACACCCAATCAAGGAGCTTCGGACACCATGTGGCTAATGACAAAGTTAGATGTCAGTGGAACTTATTGGATAAAATTCTGAAACTTGAAGCAATTCCTTTTGGATCACTTCAGTGACAATGTGACTAATGCTGGCCACACTGGAGGATAACTGGCACAATTTATGTCCTGTAGTGTGAGGAGTTTACATAATCTTTAGGTTCTCGACTCGATTGGTTGGCTCCCCAATTTCTGTGAGATCCTATGTCGCCGGTACCGCCAATGTGTCGACTGTTCAGTATAAACGTGTGTGTTCCTGTGTCTTCACTGACTTAATTCTGTCTCTATGTCTGTGGTACCTTTTTAAAAGGAGTTAAGATTTGAAAATCCTTTCATGTGCACCAGGCATAACTGGAAATGGGGACTTTGAGTTGTGACAGTTAAGTATTTTCCCCTTCTTAGATTGTTAGATTTAAAAACATTCCTCTGTTTACCTAGAATATTATAATAAAATGATCTCGTGATCAGGTATATTTGTCTTGCAACCCTTTGTTGTGGTCCTGATCTCTGATGTGTAGGCTGTCCATACATCCTCTTTTCCCCAGACATGTCCTCTTTTTGGCACCTAAAAATGCGTTCTGCTGGGATTTCTAGAACGCTCAAAATGTCTGGGATTCAGCTTCTCCTTTCTACAGTTGGCATTCACTGTGTGCGGTTTTGCATTGCTTTTACCTTTCTGTTCTTGAAGTGGGACAGTACTCACAGGAACTCAGTAGCTTACCGGTACATTTTCTTGTGTACCGGCACTTCTCACAAGCTGCTGGTACTCTTTTCTGTCAGAGAAAGTAGGGAAAAATCGGGTGTTTTTTTAATTCAAGCATGTGCATGAAGTTAATCATCAATGTCAGTTTTCAAGAACCGACCAATCACAGTCTTGATGGGGCGGGACATTAAAAAAAGGTTGACGTGGTGCTACAGCAAACTTTCGAAATGTTGAATGTTGAGTTCTGTATGAATGGTTCGACAAGTTAGTTCTCAGCATAAACTACGTAGAGACTGATCACCATGTAGAGCATTTTTCTTGGACAAGGATTTAATGAATGAGAACAATGGACCATAATGAAACTGCTGACTGGAATAAATATTATACTAGTGCATGGTTCCCCCTCCTTACAAAAAACAGATGAAGGATGGTTTAATTACCCAGGATTCTCCTGTAAACGGATGTGAACTTACAGAAGACAAAAACAAACCACTCTGTTATGAAAACAGGAACTGATGTAGCTTCAGTCTTTGTTAGGAGCTTGTGTTCCTCTGCAGACACTGAAAATAAAAAGATAATTAAATAAGGCACTCCTCCTGTCTACATCAGAATCTCTAACCTGGGGATCTGTTATCTCTCCACATATGCACTGAATTACGTTGAGTGTTGTGTTTCTGTGCTACACAACACAACACAACACACTAGTCATGCTTTCCATTTAGCCACTGCGAATCACCAGCTCTTAGGAAGCACATCTCTCCTCATTTACAACCACTCAGAGTGAGAGAAAAAGCATATTTGCAGCCTTTCATCACTGCAGGGATGGAGATGAGGTGTGTCAAATAACATACCTCAAACATTGTTAGAAGTTTTTCATGTTTTCTGAATGTGATTCACATGTATAAGGTGAAATACTCTGTATTGTAACACCAACATTATTATATGTTAGATTTGCATTGATTCCATTTTTTGGTAAGGTTTGGTTTGTTGTTATGAACATATTAATGTTACAGAGTCTTTTTTAGCTCATAATTGTGACTGTGGTAACTACCAGGTTGGGTAACATGATGGTATGAAAGAAATGTAGTAACTAACTCTGCTTTTGGATAAAAGAAGAATGTTTAAAGGGATAACATACTGGAGTGAGGTTAAGAAAGTAATTGATTATAAACTACTTGAAATACACTGATGCTAGTTATGCTAGTTACGCCCGCGGGCCGTCAAGCCCTGGCGGCAGCTTTCGGTATGTGCACACACCTGCTATGTTAACTTCATCCTCATATGAAACACCGTTTGAAAGCTTAAACCCTTCGATTCGACCAATGCAAAGCATTTCAAGATACAGTCACCACAGTGGGTACAATCGGCCCCTCTGTCAGACCAACCAGTACAATCAAAATTGATGTGACTCACCTATGAAGCCTCATAGTAATCCACCGAACGATTAGATTCCAACAAAAGTCCATGTTGATTTTTACAGCTTCGGCTGCGTCTCAGGCGTGTTCGTCACTGTTATAAGTTTATCGGCACAAGCTTGGCTTTCCGTTGGTTTCATCTTCTGGTATCATTTAACACTTCTCTGTATATTTTTATTTGCTGTTCACATCACTTGTCACTGATTGATCGCTGCGTTCCATCACATTATAATACCACCAGTGAAGATGACCTAATTAGCATGAGGATCTATCAGATACAATTTCCCACAGTTATTTGAAATAAAAATAAATAAATAGATAACCCTGTTTGTCCATAACAACAATAAAAATAATAATATTATTGAATGAAGTACTCTATTGGTATTGGTATCACATTAAGGGTACTTGTTTTGGTACTGGTATCGTAAAATTATAAATTAAACCCAACCCTAATTATCACATTATAAACTATACTTTATTGTGGACCCCATGAAGAATAGCTATTGTGATGCTGTATCTAATGCAGGTCCTAATAAACTGAACTAAACTAAACCTCATCACTGCCCCCAAGGAAACACCAAGCTCAGTGCAGCAGGAAGTTAGGAGTGACCATCATCAACTTTCCCTTTTTTAATTTGCTTTCCTGATAAAGTAAAATAACACAAAAAACACAAAAATGTATACATTCCTGGAGTCATTTTGCTGCCAAACATTCAAGCTCTGAGTTATTCTCCTCTTATCCTCTTTCCTTCTCCCTCGTCTCTCTTTCCCATCACCTACTTTCCTGTTCCCTCAGTCTTCAAGTGGCTCTCACTTTCTCTCTCTCCGCTTTCCCCCTTGTTTCTTCCTCTTACTTATTAAATTATACAGTTTTTAGGTTTTACAGATCCACGAGCCTTTCAGTGTGCACATGACAAAATGTGAAAACATGAAAAAAGGAAAGTAGCAGGGATAGTGGGGTTCAAACACATTTTGAAGAACAACAAGTCGTGCAGGCTGCACCTACATTTGCATTCCTGACAGGAACACACTGTTAGTGCCGTGGCCTTCCTGCAGCAGCAGTAATTTACACAATAGTGCCACATTTTCTCAGCATGTTACATCAAAGCAAAAGCTGTCCATGAAAAAACGCTGAAGCTTTTTTTGTTGCAGATGATTCAAACATTTGAAGTTCTGCTCTTTGTTTTTCAGATGTCTTCGTGTTTTCTGTCTTTTCTCCAAATGAGCGTTCACTCTTTACAAATGACACTGTGATTCCGAATAATTGGATGTTTCTCTCTTTCTCTCATCCTCACACCTCATTTCATCCTCCCAACAATTCTTTTCACCCCCTTACCCCATGTCCTAACTCCCTTCATCTCCTCCTCCCTCCTCCTCAGCGATGCCTTCAGACTCCTCCACCAATCCCCTCCTCCAGCAGCAGCCTGCTGCCCAGCAGCCCCCTCCCCTCCTCCCCGGCTCCTCCGCCCCGCCCGGGGAGCATGTTCCCGGGGTTGGCCCAGTCCCAGGGGCCCCTGTTCCTGTTGCCGCAGCTGCAGCTGAGGAAGCCCAGGCTGCGAGCGGTCGGACCATCCCAACAGCCTGCGTGCGGCCCACCCATCCTCTACGAAGCTTCACCAACCCGCTGCTGCCGCCGCCCATGGGGACCATCGACCCCAAGGTGTACACCTCCATGATGCCCCAGTCCAGTGAGTGCAGCTGATTGTTTCCCAAAACAAAGATCAAAACACACCCATGTTTTTTTTTATCCGTATGCAAACTGAAGTGGAAAAGCAGTTTTAAAGCTTTCAAATGTCTTTGATCCTCTTTACTGGATGAATCAAGGGTGAAACCCAGGTGTCAAATTGTGACGTAACATTACATAACATAACAAGATTTGACACAGCTTGACGAGATGCAATATGAGATGATGTCACGTGACGTGATTTGACAGACACATAACACAATATAATTTGATGTGATGTGACAAAGTAAGCTGATCTGACACTTTTCATTTGAGGTGACGTTATTGTGACATTGTGTGATGTAACACACTAGGATGTAGCATGACATGATATAATGTGACAATGTAATGTAACAGTTCCTCTAATGTCCAGTAGCTGCTCCCAGAAATCCCTGTATTGTCTTTTCATGACTGCATCATGTCACTGCCTAAACTGCTCCTTGTTTTGGAATGCTGTGTAATGTGTTAACTTAATTAACTCCAGGTAGTCAGAATGATTCAACAGAATGCTTGTGCTCTCATTTCATTTTTCTGTTTGTGCAATACACTTGTTTGATCATTTATTAAGTTTTACATTCCATTTCTGCCAATTCATGTATCTTTATTATGAATGGACTTTTAGTGAAACCTCCATCCCAACAGAAAACCTGTTCCTGTCCTGGGCTGTTTTTCTTTTCTTTTCACTGTGCTCAGTCCATGAAATACCCACAGCATGGTCTCAATAGCTAAAGCGAAAACAAGAAACACACGTGATGACAAAAACATTACATTTTAAAAGTCCCCGTCCGGTTGCATTCTGTAGCTCCAATTTGTCGATGACTGTTTTGTCAGAATCCAGTGACTCTTTGTTTAAGCTGGATTCTCTCTGCTGAGCCGCTGCACTTTGTTTAATATTATATTCAGGGAAGCTAAGTGTGTTAGCCCCAGGCTGCTACACGGCATGTGTGTTTGTAGAAAGATATACTGTAACTGGCCTTGACATTAGCCAGAGGGTTGGATCTGATCTAGAGTGACCTCCCTCTGTTTTCTCTCTCTTGATGTTACCTGTCTGTCTCTCCATATGTTCACCCCTCTCTCTCTCTCTCTCCTTCAAGGAGCCATTATATTTGACAAAACGCCTTTTTTATGCCATGCTGGGCTTTAGCGATGGCAATCTCTGTCCATCCACCCGTTTGGACTGACGTATCTTAACAAATATCAGGTGGATTGCCTTGGAATTTGGTACAGATAGCCATGAGGCCCAAAAGATGAAAACTATTGACATTTTTGATCCCCTGACTTTTCTTATAGCACCAGCATCAAGAAGAATGGTCCAGTGGTGGAGGAAGTATTCAGTAAAAGTGCTACCACATTACAAAAATAATCCATTACAGGTAAAAGTGAAAATGTTACTTAATTAAAAGTATGTAAATATAATCAACATATACTTTATTAATTATATTATATATTATTATTGATTATTATTACTTATGATGAATGCATTTTGCGATTGCAGTTGGTTGAGTTGGAGCTGTTTTTTAATTATTTTGCCAATAACTAATTATTTACCTTAATGATTATTGATTATTTTGTCTAATAAGGGATTTGATTGATTGTTTAGTTTGTAAAATTTCGGAAAATACATACAATTTCATAATAATTACTTTGTTTAACCACTGGTCCAAACCTTAAATTATTTTAAAATAAATTTTAATTATTAAAACAATGAAAAGTAGTAAATGGTCACATGTAAGAAGCTGGAACGATAAAAGGTGTGGCATTTTATCCTGAAAAATGACGAAAATGAATAAAATAGTTGCCAAACATCAAACCTTTCGGCGTCATGGGGATACCACCTTCCTACATAGCTAGCTAGCTACCGAGCTACATTCAACAAAAATGGCAACAGGAAAAAAAGGGAAGCTCATGTTTCCCACTGTACTTCCACCATGTTCCAGTCTGTTTGGAAAGCTGTATTCGGCCCTAACGTGTCCCGTTGAAGCTTTGCTAGTCCAAAATGGTTGGAGGATGCTCTTTAGCGATGAACCAGCCAAATAAACTGAGCAGACACAGAAACAAACGCTAAAATCAGATCCTGTTTTAATAAATTTGTACTTGATAAAAAAATGTGGTTCATAACACTCAGTTCTTTTGTCATCTTTATACTTCCACATATCCCAGGTGTTGCTCCACCATGAGCATCCAAAACAGGAACTCTACTGGTTCTAATTCCTTACACCCTCTCTGTTTTCTTTACTTTCTTTTTTCTTCCTTTCCCCTTTATATTCCTTTCTTACTCTCTGTTTTTTTTTAGATCTTTCTATCTCTCTCTTGGTGGCTCATCCTGTCATTCTCTCTGATCGCCTGCAGCAGTGTAAACAGAAAGCAAAACACTATGTGTAGGTGTAGCCTATCTGTTGTGTGGACCTGCTTTCTGTAGGCGTGTATCACCTGTGCGTGTGTGTGGGTGTGTATGTTGGTGTGTGTGTGCGCGTGTGCGTGTGCGTGCGCGTGTGTGTGGGTGTGTATGTTGGTGTGTGTGTGTGCGCGTGTGTGTGTGTGGGTGTATACAGTTCCATTATGGTTCTGTTTACATGCCCAGGTGGCCTCAGATTAACATTGATTTTCTGCTCCTGGGAATCTTTTGCTCAAAAATAGCGAGCCTGCGGCGACGCTCGGCTCAACTCCCAAAGACCCCCCTGCTCACCCTGTGACCCGCCACCCCCCTTCCACAACACAGAGCCTCAAAGCCAGGCATTGCAACCTCCATCAACTCCTCTTCGTGTCTCTATCAAGGAGGGAAAATACAGACTTTTGAGTGATGGCGCTTGATGTTCATTGTTGGTCTTGTTTGTGCCTGAATGACTCCCTCGGTGAAAAGAATGAGGTGTTTTCATGGCTTAATTGGATTGTTGTGGTGAGAGAGAGAAAGAGAGAGAGACCTGAACAGACTTAAGGTTGATACTCAAGATTGGTAAAATGGATTGAAAGCTACACAGGAAAGAGGTTTACCTGGCGCTACTTGATCCCTAATGTACCTGACACTGGATCAGGTGTTGGAAAGCTAAATGAGAACCAGAACTTTGTTCTGTTCCAGATGTTTCTGGATTTTATTTTTCTGACATATTTGCAATACTACTGTCAGTATTTTAGAGTTTTCGTGCAATATTGAACTGAACATCGAACAATTTTTGGTGAAAATATTTTAGAAGTCTATGTTAACAGCTGGAGACATTTGACTTTTTCAGTATTTAATCAAAGCTGCTATACTATATATATATATTTTTTTTTTTACTATATACCAAAGTAAAGCATAATATATATATCATAACACTGACATCGATTTCTATACCGTGAGTTTTGCAGGTCTCTGTAAACACTGCACATCCCTCCTGCCATCATTAGCAGTTTTATTTTGTTCACCTACAAGGGAGCGTCCTTCAACCCACTGCAACCTAACATGGCTTGCTAAGCTAGCCTTAGGTACTTGACCTATAAAAGCGTCTTGACCGAATTGTGGGTGCAGATTCTGTTCTTTCTCCCAGGCCGGAGAAAGAAGGCAGTGGAGGAGAGTGACACTTGTGACTGCTGTATTTGTGAAATGCACAGGTAGTGTGCAGTAAAGTGGCAGGCAACAGTAGTGGCTTTTAAGGGCACCAAACTATGATACATCCCTGCTAGGTTCTGTGTGCGTTCACAAACCTTTTGATATTTTTAAAAATGAAGCAATAACACCCAAAAGAAACTTGAACATGTGTGAAACTTGAATGGGTGCACAAACACAGACATGATGAGGCAGTCAAGTTAAGTATTTTATTTCTCATATGTACAACAATTACAGTGAAGCTGTTGTTGTCAGGCTCCTACAACAATGTTTATATAAAATGTATAAAAGAAAATCACGCAACAGAGCAGGAAAATGTTGACGTGACATTAAAAATCTTCTTTGACACTCTGATGGAGCTCTGGGCTTATCAGGAGGATGGCTGCTTTACTCCAAACAGTTTCACTGTATGAACGTGGACTGTGTGTGTGAGACCTTTTGGATGTGTAGAAGAACACAGACCATCAATTAACATTAGATCCTGATGATCCTGTCGGCGTGTCGGGAGATTTTAATAATCAGTGAAGTAAATGCACACAGTGTCTCCTTCACCGTTTTTCACCCATCCGCTATTAATCAGAATGTTAATTTTTCTGTGCCGGCCCACCTGATCCGTGGATATATCTGTGATCTAAACGCCACATCTTATCATCTGAATAATACACCCTTTAAATAGCAGGAAAATGTTGCATCATTGACTTTAAACCAGGTTTTTGTCTGTCAATGGCACAGTCACGTTCTGCTGCCTTCAAGATAGCGATGTGCCAACAATGCCCCTAACCACACCTCATTTTAAAGGTTCAGAGTGTAAGTTTTAGTGGCATCTAGTGGTGAGGTTGCAAATTGTCCCATTTCCCGAGCTGTGAATTCGTTCTTCTGACTTCACTGTGTGTTCATGTGCTCTTAAGCTAGAATGTGGAATCAACGTGGCTCCTGGAACACTGGAGTGGTTGGGGCCTCTGGCCTCCCGTTGGCCTTCTTCCTGCACCGCTGGGTGTAGAGGTCCTACTGTATATGGATGGTAGCTCCGCCCGGGTGATGTACTGTGTAGTTTTCACCTATCAAAACAAATCCAACGTGGTCCAACGTGGTAGCTAACGAATGACATCTGACTGGTTTGTTCACTGGCGCTTGTCTAACCTGGTCCGCGGTTCTAAAATATCAGACATGTCGCGACTTGTAACGTAGTAACTCTGTTTCTCTGAAAAATGCTACAATGTGTCGCCTAACTGGGTGGACCGCCGAAATAAAGTGTATGTTTGGCAAACACCATTTTTTTTATTTTTACAAGCCAGGTCTTCAGCAGTGTCAGCCGGTGTTGTGCAGAGTTCTGCATGCCTGCAGAGAATTGCACGCACCTCGTGGCTGGTAACGTTCATTTA